GTCATAGGACACATTTTCTGGTCACAAATTCTCTCAACTTTTGTTTGTCTGTTAATGTAGTATTTTCTCCTTTTTTGTGTGTGTGTGAGGAAGATTGGCCCTGAGCTAACATCTGTTGCCAATCTTCCTCTATTTGCTTGAGGAAGATTATTGCTGAGCTAACATCTGTGCCAATCTTCCTCTATTTGCTTGAGGAAGATTGTTGCTGAGCTAACATCTGTGCCAATCTTCCTCTATTTTGTGTGGGAAGCCGCCACAGCCTGACTTGATGAGTGGTGCTAGGTCCACATGCAGGATCTGAACCTGCGAATGTGGGCCACCAAAGCAGAGAGTGTGAACTTAACCACTGTGCCACTGGGCTGGCCCCTTTCTTCTTCTTTTTTGAAGGATAAGTTTGTTAGAATTATTGGTTGACATTCTTTTTCTTTCAGCACTTTGAATATATCATTCCATTGCCTTTGGCTGCCATGGTTTCTGATGAAAAATCAGCTACTAATCTTATTGAGGATCTCTTATACCTACTGAGTCACTTCTTTGTTGCTGCTTTCGAGATTGTCTGTCTTTGATTATGATGGGTTTAGGTGTGGATCTCTTTAAATTTATTCTACTTGCAGTTGTTACTTTCTTGGATGTGTGTATTAATGCTTTTTATCAAATTTAGGAAGGTTTTGACCATTATTTCTTCAAATATTCTTTCTAGCACTTTTTTGCCTTTCCTTCTGGGTCTCCCATTATATGCATATTGGTAAGCTTGTAAGTGTCCCACAGGTCTCTGAGGATTTGCTCATTTCTTTTCATTCTCTTTTTCTTTCTATTCCTCATTTACCTTCAAGTTTTGTTTTTGTTTTTGTTTTACTCTGTTGCCTACTCAAATCTGCCGGCCAGTCCCTCTAGTGAATTTTTTATTCCAGTTATTGTATTTTCTACTGCAGGATTTCTTTTTATAATTTCTATGTTTTTATTAATATTTTCTATTTGGTAAGACATTGTTCTCATACTCTCCTTTAATTCTTGAGACATGATTTCCTTTAGTTCTTTGAACATATTTTAAATAGCTGATTTAAAGTCTTTGTCTAGTAGGTTCAACAACTGGGCTTCCTCAGGTACAGTTTCTATTGACTTTTTTCCCCTTGATATTGGCCATACTTTGCTATTTCTTCGTATGTCTAGTATTTTTTTATTGAAAACTGGGTATTTTAAATAATACAATGTGGCAACTCTGGAAATCAGACTCTGCCTCCTCCCCAAGGTTTGTTGTTGTTGCTAATTGTTTTGGTGGTTGTTTATTTAGTGACTTTAACAAACCAATTCTGTAAAGCCTGCATTTTTGGTGACGTGTGGCCACTGAAGTCTCTACTCAGTTAGCTTAGTCAGCAGCTAATGAATGGGCAGAGCTCTCCTTAAACATCTGGAACCAATAAATCTCCCAGTCTTTGCCAGGGTCTCTGTGTGCATGTTGAGACACACCTTCTACACTCAGTGAGGCAGTTTAGGCTCACCTTAATCTTTATGTCTTGCTTGCACAGAGCCTCAAGGTCAGCCAGAGGTGAAAGCTTAGGGCCTTCTGGGTCTTTTTTAAGCATGTGCATGGCCTTAAGCTTGTGCATGGCTTTCTAGGTTCCCAGGAATATGTTGGAGATTTTCAAAGTCATAATGGACATCTTACTCCTCAACTTTTCCTTTTCACGTTTTTGGTTAGCCTACCGTTTGTCCCAACTGTTATTCATCACCTCAGGCAGCCGTGATTAAAACATTTGCCAGTAAATGTTTTTCACAAACGATTCCGCAGAGGGGCTTTTAGCACTAGGTGAACTTTATTCAGATCAAATGAAGATAAGCTTTTGAATGGGGTCTTCCAGGGAACCACCAGACAGTCAGATAATTACAGTTCTCTCAGAACGAGGCTGTGAAAGAGCTCCAGCTCTGTTCTGCTCCCTCTGGTATCAAGGATGTGGGATGTTATTTTTCAAGGCTACTGCTGAGCTGGGGATGGGACTAGAAGTTAAAATGCCACAAAGCTTGTTCCTATAGAGACTCAGGCATTTTTCTTCAATAAATACTCCTTGGGTTGCTGCAAGCCTTTGGTTAGTTTCCAGTTCTGGAAAAGTCAATTCTGACAATTTCTGCCAGTTTTTTCATTGTTTTTATAGAGAGGCGAATTTTCAGAGCTGCCTTGCCATTTTCCCGACCTGAATATTTAAGGGCAGGTGTTATTATTGATTTTTCTTGGCCAAAGAAAAATCTTGGTATGGTAGGGCTTCCAAATATTTTTAACAGAGTAAGCTATAACACGTTGCCTCCACTAATTTATGAATTGACTTAGGAATATCTGACCAAAGCATGCCATTAACGGAAGTGATATTGAGGGGTTTTTTTTGTTTTTTGTTTTGTTTTAACAGCTATTGGTCAAGATTTCAACATATTTTTAAGGCTACTCACTATCTTATGATAGTCAAACTCTGTTATCACTATAAAGAAGGATGCTAGTCTTCCTCTAAAATATATGATGGAGATATGCATCTCTTTTTATGAAAAGTTCTGTCATTATTGAGACATTTTATAAAGGCAAAGAGGGGCTAAAGACATAGTTCTCTATTTTTTTAAATTTTTTCCAGCTTTATTGAGATATAATTGACATATAACATTGTGTAAATATAAGGTGTACAATGTGCTGATTTGATACACTTATATATTGCAAAATGATTACCACCATAGCATTAGTTACATTTTAATTCTTAAAAGAGGTGGAGACACCATCTGGCTATTAGAATGGCTACAGCAGGAGAAAGGGTCACTCAGAGTCTAGGGTTTGGATTTCAGCATTGCAGGACAGCCTGAGATGATCAGTCTCTGAAGAATTAGTTCATGCTACCTAAACTTTCAAAAGACTTAGGTATAAGCCAGAATGTGATTTTACTAATCTTAAAAAGATGCTCTGCAACAGAAACTGTTATGTAGGTTGTAATAATCTTTGTCATTGTACATTATCTTCCCAAAGGCAAATCCAGGCAAGAAATCAAAATGAAAACAAAAGGCTGTGAGAGAAGCATGGAGTTACTGCAAGGCAAACAAATTAGATGACCTTAAGAAATGTCCTCAAACTCCCCAATGCAGAAATAGCCTGTAGAGTAAAATATCTGACATAATCTGGAACACAACACTCCTTTTCTCAGAATAGTAATAGAAACTTTGTGACAAAGTCTTATTCTTGGCTCCATGCTGACCTAAGCCCTTTGATAACACAGCCTAACACACAATAAAACTTGATTCAGTTTAGGATTTCTATTTTCTTTTTTCTAAGTGATAGTACATTCTAGTGATTCCTGAGACTATACACTGGCAGCCTTTTTTTTGAGCTTGGGTGTCATCAAAGCTTCTTAGCCAAGAGAATCTCTATCACAATACATAGTTTTAATGTTTCCTTAACACTTCTCACTACCTGAAATCATCTTACTTATTTACTTGTATATTATCACCTCCATCTAAACAGAGACTTTGTCCTGAGAACAAGCCCTTGGAGAACAAGGACTTTGTCTATATTTTTCATTATTATATTCCCATTGCTTTTATAAGTGTCTAGACCATAGAAAACAATCAATAAATATTTGTTAAATTCATTTAATAATTACTGTTATAGGTGAGAGTATTTCATAAGAGGAATGAAATCTTAGCATTAATTTTGGAGATTCATTGCTGTTGCCTCCATATTGACTATTTTTGAGACTAGAATTTGAACAACCAAAGAGCCATTCCTATTTGTGCCCATTCTAGTAGCGGAAAAGCACAAACTTTAAAGGAGTATAGGAAGAGGTTGGTCAAAGGGTGTAAACTTTCAGTTACAAGATGAGTAAGTTCTGGGGATCTAATGTACAGCATGGTGACTGCAGTTAATACCACTGTATTGCATACTTGAAATCTGCTAAGAGAGTAAATCATAATTGTTCTCACTACACCATAGAAACAAAAAAGGTAACTATGTGAGGTAATGAATGTGTTAATTAGCTTGATTGTGGTAATCATTTCACAATGTACACGTATATCAAAACATCACGTTGTACACCTTAAATATATACAACTTTTACTTGTCAATTATCTCAATAAAGCTGAAAAAATAAAATATATGCTTATTTTGAAAGAGAGAAAAAAGGAAAGACTATGGATAGCTGAGATCTATGGCCATTTTATATGACTACAGAACCAAAAAGTAGACAGAACAATAAATGCCTTAGAAAGTCTTAAATTTCTCTTAATCATATGTCAGAAAAGTAAAGCAAAACATTGACTAATTGTTCCTACTACCTGCTTATTCCTCATAGACTATATTAAGTTGAGAGACACTTAGAATTAAAAAATTTTAGTTTCAACTGGGAAATGTTTCTTTCTGCTTAACTACTTAGTTTATAACGGTGATTTGAAGGGTACGCTATCTTTGTTTCCTGGGAAGGCATTTAGGAAGGTCTAAACAATACAGTACAGAGGATGATCATCAATTCACTGTACACACTCCTGTTCTGGGTGTGTTAATGACAGAACTAATGACATAAGGTTATTGAATGAGTGCATGATTGCAGACGTTGGTGTTTCTTCTATACATACTAGTTTTTCTATCAACCAGTTTCATGCTTATGTAAATTACTTTCTCCCACTGACCCAAAGCTGTAGAATGAATTTTCAAATAATATAAACCAATTGAGATTTTAAACTTAGGAGAAATAGTTAAAAATCGTTAAAAAAAAAATCAATTCACCGCTACTATCCAGGGGTCTCCAATTCTCTGCAGTAAAACAAACAACAGAAAAGTAGGGACTGAGGGAAATTGAGAAATCCAGCAAAAATCAGTACACTGCATCCCCTTGATGTACACACGCTGTAGAATCCCCATCCACCCCTTGAGAGTGGGCAGCACCTGTGAACATGATGGGCTATCACCACGGGAGAATCCTCACGGGAATATCTGTATTTGTCTTCTATTGCTGCAAAATCAATTACCACAAACTTAGTGGCTTATTCCAACTCATTTATTATCTCACAGTTCTGTATGTTACAAGTCCAGGCACAGGTCAGCTACGTTTGATACTGAGGGTCTCAGGAGGCCGAAATTTAGGTGTCAGCTAGGGTTACAGTGTCATCTGAAGTTTGAAGTACTCTTCCAAGCTAATCCAGGTTGTTAGAAGAATTCAGTTTCTTGTGGTTGTACAACAGAGGTCCTGGCTTCTCTCGCTGGCTGACAGCTGGAAAGTAGCTCTCATCTCCTAGAGGCCACCCTTAGGTCTTAGCCGATGTGGCCCTCTTTCAACATGGTAGCTAACTTCTTCAAGGCCCACAGGAGAATCTCTCAGACTTCTTGTGAGAGCTCACCTTATTAGGTCAGGCCCAGCTAGCACTGTCTCCCTGTTGATACTCAAAGCCAGCTGATTAGGGACCTTAACTGCATCTGCAAAATTCCTTGAACCTTGCCATATAACATAGTCTAATCATGGCCATATCATCAGGGGAGTATCATCAGGGCATTTGGTTTGTGGTAAAGGATTGCTTCAGTAGCACACTGTGAACATGACCCTATACACATACGGCTATAATTTTATAGGACTATATAGGTATATAGGATTTTACCTATATACCTATAGGATTTATACCATAGGACTATAGGATTTTATAATCATCTATATAAACTTTAAATTTTATGTCACTTTACAAGTGACAAAATGCTGGTACATATTCTACATTATCTGATTTTCAGGACTACCTGTCAGAGAGGCATAGGAGATATCAGTCTAATGTTACAGGTAGAAAAACCAAGCCTCAAAGTAGCTAAGAGATCACCCAAAGCTTTAGAGCAAATTAGTAGTGGAGTTGGGCTTCAGCCCAGGGTCTTTTCACATATAGTCCAGTGCTCTTTTTTCCTGTAGTTTTCAAACTGCATTTGGTGAGGTTCCAAGGAGATGTCTCAGGGACTACTGAGAGAACTGAGGGTGACTCAGAAGGAGGGCTAAGCATTGACACAGAGGCCCTACTTTTGTTTGTTCTATATGTTGGGGGTTCTATACAACCTTGCTGGCTTGCTAAAGGCAAAGAAGAATGTTTAAAAAAAATTTAGTTTAGGGGGCCAGCCCCGTGGCCCAGTGGTTAAGTTCGCACACTCTGCTTTGGCGGCCCAGGGTTTCGCCGGTTTGGATCCTGGGTGAGGACATGGCACCGCTCATTAGGCCATGTTGAGGTGGTGTCCCACAAGCCACAAGTAGAAGGAGCCACAACTAAAATATACAATTATGTACCAGGGGGATTTGGGGAGAAAAAAGCAGGAAAAAAAATAAAAAAGAAGATTGGCAACAGTTGTTAGCTCAGATGCCAATCTTTAAAAAAAAAAAAAATTAAGTTTAAAAAATGGTTAGATAGCTGTATATTAAAAGCCAAGAGTCTATTCCAGTCAAATTTTAGGAAGTTGTCATTTCTTGCAGCAGCTGTTGAACCTTTTATAAAGAAAAAGACAGAAAAAACAAAAAGAACCACATTAAACAGTTGGTTTGAAATGTACACTTAGGAAAAAAATGATGAACCCCACACCCTTCCTTTTTAAAATAATTTTAAAAAATTAATACCTTCTTAATGTCTGGTCTCTTATTTTTCTTTTCATGCAGACACTGACTAGCAACAGAATACATAGTTTCAACAGAAGTGGAATCAATGTCATTCATCTTCTTATCAATATAATCTTCAATTGTCTTTTCTTCATCTTCAATTTCGTCTTTAATATCTAGCTTTAAAATGAATGTTAAAACTTTCAGAGCTTCAAAGATAATTGAAAGGAATCAGAATATAAATTTTAATTATTTAATCTACTTCATAATAACATGTATTCATTTTACTTTCTACTTTTATAACTTTACTAAGAATTGAAGACATACAGGAGAAACTCTATTTATTTATACATACAGACATACCTACATACATACGTATACACCTTCTAGACACTTTCAGCCATTTGCTTTCTAATTTTTGCTTTATATTACTGAGCAAATTGCTCCCATGTTCCCATTAGCAGCATTTACTAGGCTGCCAGCACAGGGTCCTCTGCTTCTTGTGCTTGTGCTTGTGCTTCTGATAATGCAATTCCAACTTCTGGACCCAGACTCCCCCTCCCTGCACAAGCAAACTTCTCTATGGGTATTCACACTGTTGAATCAAAGAGAAAGAGAAAGGAGGAAAAAGGGGACAGGGCCATGATGAAAACTAATGAATAGGGAGAGTAGCGTAGGACTAGGATGGTGTAGCGAGTTGAGCAATGGCCCCCAAAAGATACAGCCATGTCCAAATCCCCAGAACCTGTCAATGTGACTTATTTGGGGAAAAAGTTCTTTGCAGGTGTAATTAAGTATTTTGAGAAAAGATCATCCAGGATTACCCAGGTGGGCCCCAAATCCAACGACAAGTGTCTGTATAAGAGAAAGAAAGAGAAGAAAACAGATACAGAGGAGAAGACAATGTGACCTGGAGGAGAGACTGGAGTGATGTGGCCACAAGTCAACAGCCACCAAGAAGCTGGAAGAGGCAAGGACAGATTCTCCCCAGAGCCTCCTAGGGGGAACGTGGCCCTGCAATACCTTGCTTTCAGACTCCTGGCTCCCAGAAATAGGAGAGAGTAAATTTCTGTCATTTTAAGCCTTTTTGTGGTAATTTTTTTACAGCAGCCCCAGGAAACAAATACAGATGGAAAAGACTATTTATGTGAGGTTAATTGTAAGCTCTCCAGAAACTCTTCCAAAGGAGAAATGTTGAAAGTGTTTGGGCAATGGCAGAATCTGGTGATAGAAAGGTCCTTTAAAAGATCACTCTCTTTTAGGTAAACTTGTATTAAAATCTTATTAGTTTACAGTCATACTGCATTCAAACCTCAAGAATAAGTGAAAGAGTACAATCTTCCCTGAAGTTTTAGGATTTTCAATATTATATGATGATGCGCAAAACCTGTGACCGAGATGGATTCCATGTTTTGTGTGTTTCATCCTTACTCAAGCCAAAGTTTTGAAGCTTTATAATATTCTGCAGGGGAAAAAGTCTGAGGCAAAACAATGGAAAACCTAGGCCTTTAGACAGATAGACCCTGCTTAAAAAGTATAAATTAGAAGGTAGTAAACCACTGGGTTCCGTCTTTAGTCCTCTATACCTTTTTTTATTGTCCTCCTGTATTTTCCAATCCATACCCAAAGCTTTATCTATGCCTGAACACTAATGGCTCAAAAACGCTATCTCCAGCCCAGGCTTCGTTCCTGAGCTCCAACAACCAAAGAGAGAATTTTATTTCTTTGATGAAAACAACATTTTCCTTTTTAGGTGCCACGGTAAAAAAAATTCAAGTAGGATCAAAATAACAACTTTTCACAATAATATTATGTTCTATAAATCTAATTTAATGTGAATTTTTTTTTTTTTTAAGGATTGGCACCTGGGCTAACAACTGTTGCCAATCTTTTTTTTTTTTTTCTTCTACTTTATCTCCCTAACCCCTGCCCTGTACGCAGTTGTATACCTTAGTTGCAGGTCCTTCTAGTTGTGGGATGTGGGACGCTGCCTCAACGTGGCCTGACGAGCGGTGCCATGTCCGCGCCCAGGATCCGAACCCTGGGCCGCCGCAGCGGAGCACGCGAACTTAACCACTCGGCCACGGAGCCAGCCCCCTAATGTGAAATATTATATAGCATGCAATGCATTACTAGATATCCAGGAAACCATGGAAAACTTTATAATGCACTGTTTTATAAGGGACACCTGTAGCAATATTATAATATATAGATATTCTACTTATGGCTTTTCTCTGAAAGAGTATGGCACCAAGCCCTTGAACAAATATATTAGATCTTTTGACTTTCTAATCCTCATTCTAGGGAAATAATCTGGTATACGTATATTGTCTAAATTTGTGACACTGGTTTGTCCCATTAGAACACATAAATTAGAATAAAGTCAGTGTAGTTATTTAACTAATTTTAAGAAAAACTTATACATGATAGCAGGTATTTCCATAAATCTTCAATTTTATAAAAAGATTCTTTAGATTCTTAAAATCTACTATATAGGGAAGAAAGGGCATAGCAGAATTTTCCTATAGTTTTAGCATTCAGTTAGTCTATTTATGTAATTATCAATGAATCCCTAATATAACAAATTAGGTAATGTTTTCTATGATAGCTTTATAAATAAAATACTTCATAATATAAATGGATAGAGAATTTTACTAGCAAGTCTATTCTGATACAAATTTGAATGGAAGCCATGTTGTTTTTTTCTCTCTGAGTTGAAAAGGCTATTAAAAATCATCCTGAAAGCAAAAAAATAAAAACATACTGGAGAAGACCTCAGAAATCATATAGTTCTATTCTACTTTTACCCACAAAGAAACTACAACATAGAAAATATAAGTGACTTTTCCAAGCTTCACAAATACTTCATGGAGAGCTGAGATTACAAATACTTGATGGTCTTCCCATATGCCACTATGTAACTGCCAATGGAAAGATTGCCAGTAGAAAATGACATTTCTAGACGCCAAATTTGCCCATATAAATTTAGAGTAGAAATGCAAAGAGAAAAGGACTGGAAAAAAAGAATTTTTCAGTTACCAATAACTGAGGTTCACGGTGTTCATCCACAGCTGGAAGTCCTGTTATTATTTCTAGTAAAACCTATGAAGACAAAAAAAAAAAAAATCCATTAACATAACACTCAAGATAACAAATAGAAACTAGAAGGAATATGGATCTTGATTATGAAGTCTGATCAATCATTTCCATACACAGTATTGTGTATTTTTGGCATTTAAGCAGAAAGAACACGACCTGTGGTCATTCCTCACCACCCCTCCTTCAAGGACACCCCAGATCCCACCCATCTCCACAAGTAGTTCTTTCCTACAGGCAACTTACTAAATGATCAGCTCCACTTAAAATGTGTTCTGGAAACTCCCACTCTGTTTCCTGTCTTGCAGGGGATTCTTCACAAGAATAATTTTCTCTGGCTCTTAGGAGAATATTATTTTCTAAACCTTAGGCATATCCTACAACCCTGCACCTTAACTTCACAGTGCTATGAAGTTAAATGTCCACATACGAAACATATATGAGAAAATAAGATGAAGGAGCAACCAATTTCTAGAACCACTCCCATACATCTCTCACTCCATCTTAAAAGTTATTGGGAAGAGACTGGTGGATCAGAAAATGCCAAAGCGTATTTCCTTAAAAAATATTTCATTTTTAAAATACGACACAAAAGTGTGTATGTATGACATGATTTATTTTACACACTGATTTAAGTTTCATATTAATTCCTGGGGATAGGATAGCAAAAAATCATTTCTCGCAGTAATTTCAAAATTAATTAAAACATTTTACAAATTGGGAGTTTTTATAACTTGCTCATTTAATTAGAGGTTGAAGTGAACAATTTACATCTTTACATAAAAGAACTAAGCAAGATAGGTATATTCCAAATATTCTACTTCAATTTCAAAATTATAGCCAGAACGACCATTGTTACTAATTATAGACATGAAACTTACCACACCAAAGCTGTAGATGTCAGATTTGGGCGTTATTTCTCCTCGCAAAGCTTCAGGTGCCATATAAGCTGTTGTTCCCATAATTCTGCTAGTCATGACTGTCTGAGTAAACCTCTCAGAAGCCCGTGCAAGCCCAAAGTCAGATATTTTAGCTGTAAAGGCTTCATCTAGTAAGATATTTGCACTGAAAAAATTTAATGTTTGGAGAAAAAATTGTTTTTCTTTCCAAGTAAGTCAAACTGTTCCTTAGATAGGTGTATGAATATATTTACCTATGTATTTAGAGTACACCATTTTATAATATATGTCATAAAAGCCTGAAATTTGTGCAAGTCAATCTAGAATTCAAATTAAAGAGAAATCATTGTTTTCTTCTTTGTTTCTTGAGGAAAAATTTTAGGAGAATAAAAACGAAATAAAACTGTCCACATTAGTGAGATATTTTCTTTATTTCATACATGATTTATTACATAGTAACTTCTCAGAATGTCTCCTAAAGCACCATTCTTGAATCCTAACATTTCTCAATTCATTTAAAGACAAATTTCCAACAGAAGTACCTCAATTATTCATTTTTTAATTCTTTTTTTCTGTACTAATGGAAATCTTTCAAAGAGGAAAGAATCTGGGTAAAATTTCTTAATTCATTCCTTATATGCATTCATTCATACTCTCGTACTTTCATTCAACAAAACTTTATTGAGGACTCCCTATACGTTATAGTATTTAAGCTCGGTGCTGGGCATTGGGAGACTCTTTGAATCCTGTCTATGACAAAGGTATATGAATAATTTTTAAAAATCCAATAAGAACCCCATAATGGTGATATTAGGTGCAAAATGCTGAGAGAACAACCACCTGCCTGGAAGAACTGAGGAAAATTTCAAAGAGAAGGCACAAAGTGTGCTTAGTCTTGAAGGATTATTAGAAGTTGACGGTTAAATAAGGGAAAGAAAGGCATTTTAGGCAAATGGAGCAATATATACAAAGTGATGAAAACAGAAAAACATATAGTCAATTTCAAGAAGCCGGCATCAACAGAACATGGAGAGAATTTGAACCTTATCCTGTGAACAACAGAATATCAAGTAAAGCTCACAGCAGAGACCTGATGTTATCAGACTTGACTTTTAGGACCATAGCCTGGCAGTGTAGTAGTGAATAGATGAGAACTGGTACAGACTGGGAGAGGGTTGACCGGGAAGGTTTGTAATAAAGAAAATGAGCGATAGTGAGGGTCTAAATAAAGGCACAGCACCAGGGAGAAGTCGGAGGGGAAAATTTTAAGGCACATTCACTAGAACTTTGTAATTAGTATGATACAGGGTATGAGAAAGTTCAGCTTGGGAGACAGGATGAATAGTGAGGTCATTCAATCAGGAAGAAAATACCGGATGAGGACTTTGGGTTGGAAGAGATGAGTTTGATTTCCGACATGTTAACATAGATGCTGCTGTGGGACATCCAGGTGAGGTGTTTTGAGTATGGAAATACTGCAAATATAGGATTGGAGGCAGATGATACAGATTTGAGAGTCATCCACATACAGACAGCACTGAAGTCAATATACTATCACTCAGCAAGAATAAGTAGGGTGAACAAAAGAGACAATGAGCTAAGAACATGAAGGAACACACCAGTATGTAAGGAATGGGAGATGGGGTCTTTCCTCTTCTCTAAGGCCAGTCCCTCTACTTGGACTCCTTCCTTCATTCTCAGGAACCTTACTCTATAAATGGTCTCACTGCTCTCTTCTATTGTATCATTTCCCTCTTCCCATAGGCATAAAAGCATACTTTAGTCTTTGCCATCTTAAAAAAGTTTCCTGAATGACACATGTTTCCAGCTATCACCCTTAACCAGCTAAACGTCTTAAAAGACTTGTCTATACTCGCATCTCAGTTCTTGGTCTATACTCACTCTCTTCTCAACTACAACCTGAATTCTAATCCAATTACTACTTGGAAGTAGGTCTCCATAAAGTCACTAATGACCTTCACGGCACTAATCAAATGGTTATTTTTTAGTCTTCATCCTGACCTCTAAAAAGCAATTGACTTTTTAGACTACTCCTTCTTGGGAAACACTCTCTTTCCTTGTTTTCAGGGATACCACACTCTCCTGGTTTTCGTTTTACCTTTCGGCACCTATTTTCTTAGATTCCCTTTTGGGATCATTCTTTTCTACTTGGCCATTAAGTCTCAAAGTTCCTCAGGACTAAATTTTGGGAACTTTTCTTAACGTGTATCTGTCCTTAAGCAAATACAATCATATGACAGCTATTCAATGATCACCCATATGCAAGTAATACAGAAATTTACATCTTTAGCTCAGAATTCCTTCAGCTCCAAACTTGTATACCACACTGTCTAACATCTCTACTTCTGTATCTTAAATGAATCTCAAACACAACATGTATAAGTGAGAATTCACATTCTCTACCCCTCGACCTGGTCCTCTTTCAGTGCTATCTATGTAAGCGAATCATTCCATAATCATTCCAAAATGCAATCCTGGAAGCCATAAATCCAAGAATCATCCCTGGCACTTTTCTCCCTTGACCCTTCTGAAGCCAAGATATTGGCAAGTCCTGCCATCTTAATCTCTCCAATCTGCTCACTCCTCTTCATATGAACTGATACCACCAAGACTTCTGTGACAGCCTCCTAACCACCCCTTCTTACAAACTATTCTCTACAAAGTGATCTTCTCAAATCTTAAATATGATGCTACATTCCTGCTTATAATTTTTCAATGGCATCTGATTACATTTATGATAAAACTAAAATCCTTACCTTGGTCGATTAGGTCCTACACGACTTAGCTCCCTGCCTACGTCCATAGTTTTATCTCACATCAGTCACCCCTTCAATTTCTGCACTTCAGTCATTCTGTACTTATTTCACTTCTTCTAATTCATCACACTCCCATGTTCCTTCTCAACACTGGTCTTACAAATGCGGTTCTTTCTGTCTAGAATGCTCTTCTCCCCATCTTCTATAGCCACCCTCAAATTGTGCCTACTTTTTCCCTGCTCATTCTTTGAATCTCTGCTTAGCTATCACTTCCTCAGGGAACGCTTCTTTATGCTAATACTATATACTAAATACAATATACTATACACTAAAGTTATATTATTATTTTGTAATTACTTGATTGATAAAACTCTATAAATCTACTGTATAAATCAAACTCTACAAATGCTACTTTTGCTAACTCTGTCATCTACAGCGCCTAGCATATAGTAGGTGCTCAATTAATATTTGTTAACTAAACAAATATGTCAGAAGGAAGAGAACTAAAAAGTACCCATGGGGGATGAAAGTGATTCATAAAAGAGTGATGAGCCAGGAAACGAGAAGGAAAATAATTTCGACAAAGCAAAGGTGGTCAAGAAGAACTGAATAACATGCTATTTAAAAAAAAAAGGTCAAGTAGGATGAATACTAGAAATAGGTTAGCGGGTTTGGAATATAGATGTCCTTAGTGAGAAGAGCTTCATGGGGTGCTCCAGGTTAAGACATGCATGTGAACAGGGAATAGAAAGAGAGCAAACTATTCTTTAAAGATGGTTTTCTGAAAGCTTTTTAACTGTAGCATTTACCTTTTAATATCTCTATGAATATGATGGTTTTCATGTAAAAAACTGATGCCATTAGCTGCACCATGAGCAATCTTGCATCTCATGTGCCAAGAAAGTGGTGGAGTATCATCCTTATGGAGTAAGAAACAAACCAATTAAAAAAAAAAGAGGAGGATAAAAAAATCTACAGAAAATATATAACAGAATATTTTTCTAAGCAAGTTCTGAAAAATACTATATTCCTAAGGATTTAGGACTATCGTTTTTTTAAGTTGTTAAAAAAAATTTCCAAATAACATCAAATGGGGGTTAGCATTTCTTATTTTACAATAGAAAGATATAAGATTATCTTCAAAGTCTAGCCTTGATTGATAATTTTACATTTTAGATTATCACCTAATAGAATGGCAATCCCAGTTGTTTACATATCAACTGTATAATTTTCATACAGCAGGAAAAATATTAAGATTAATGTGGTTTAAATGATCCTGTCACAAAGTAATACTAGTATTCCAACACAGAAACAGAAAGACAAACAGTCTGATAAACAAACATCTTACCAAGCAAGACAGTCTGTCCAGCAATGACCCATTAGGCATGTAAACATATACTAAGCAGAGGTCATCTCCATCACTTGAGAAACCAAGCAGTTCTACCAAGTTTTCATGTTGACACCTGTGACAAACAATTTTCCACTCAAAATTATTCTGATACATACATATATATAATCCAGCTGTAGGTTGAAATTTATTCAATTTAGAGTTTAACAGAAAAAAAGAGCAAGAAAATAGCGATATGCTATATATCATTATAATGTGATATATATGTTTATAATGTGTTTATATATGTTTATTATAGCTGTTTATAATTTTCTGCAAACAGTTCTCTTTTCACTCAATACTGATGAATATTAGACGCAAAACCTCTTTCTATTTTATAGTAAAACCTCAGTAATTCAGACCAGTGGAACTTGTGATAGTTTGGTTAAGGACTAGGCTGATGTGTACCTTTTTTTAGCACAATTTTCAATAAGAGCACAAACAAGATTTCAAGAAGTCTGTTGAAACTTTCATGACAACCCTTTCAAGAATTCTCTAACACATCCAAAGCACTGATTGACAGACATCTGATCTTCAATCACACCTAATCCACCCATTTCTGATCTTTAATCATGTCTGATTATCCATAACCTAATTTGAGTTTCTTTATAGACTAGAGAGTAATAAAACTAAAGAGAGATGAAGTACAACAAAACTGTAGTACAGTAGAAAGAAAACTGGGCTCAGAGTTCAGTCTTAAGTTTCAAGTCCAGCTCTGCCACTTCCTGGATATGTGACCTGTGGCAAGTTAACAAACTCACTGAGCCTCAGCTCCTTTACCTGCTGAATGGGGATAATAATACCTATTACGCAACATGGGTGCTGTGAGAATTAAATGAGCAAACATATAAAAGGGAGGCTAGAAGTACACCTAGAACATGATAAGTGTCCCATTCAAGTGCTTACTCATTTTGTTCATTCAAAATGATCTATAATTCTGGCATTTCACTATTTCAGGTCAGACTTCGATTTGAAATCAGTCTATCCTCATAAATATTTTAAAAAGTGCAAACTAAAACACCAAGTGCTCCATTTTCCACCAAATTGGCACATTTTAAAAATGAGTCAATAACACTTGCTGAGTTTATACTATATACAAGGCACTGGGGTAAGTGATTTACCTGCTTTGTTTTATTTAATCCTCAAAATAACATAATGAGGGAAGTACTATCAATATCCTATTTTACAGATGAGAAAATTAATGAATAGAGAGTTAAAGAAACTTGACAAAGGTCATTCTGCTAGTAAGATCCAGAGACTGGTACTTACTAAAAAACAGTAGTAATGCTCAATGGAGTGAGGGAGCAAGGAAGTTTGAAATTGTAATAACATTGCTGGTAGGAATATAAATTACCATAACTTATCTACAAAGCCATCTGGATATATACTTGCAAAGTCTTTAAAAGTTCATGTATTCCTTTTTTTTTAATTAAATAAATTTTTTTTGAGGAAGATTAGCCCTGAGCTAACTACTGCCAATCATCCTCTTTTTTGCTGAGGAAGACTGGCCCTGAGCTAACATCCATGCCCATCTTCCTCTACTTTATATGTGGCTTTTGCCAAGTGGTGCCATGTCCGCACCCAGGATCCAAACCAGCGAACCCCGGGCCACGGAGAAGGAGAACATGTGCACTTAACCGCTGCGCCACCGGGCCAGCCCCCAGAAGTTCATGCATTCTGAAGCTGTAATTCTTCTTCTGTAACTATTCTGATGAGCTAAGGGGAGTGGCATTTAAAGATTTACGTGCAAAGAGACTGAAAGAAGGTTTAATTTGTAATGTTGAAAATTAGAAACAAACCTAGTAAAATACCGGTTAAATAAAATATAACCCTCATACATGCTAGAATGTTGTATAATAATTTAAAATGTTTTAAAGTTATTTTATAGACACGGGAAAATGCTACACATACATCATGAAGCAAGTTTATTAAAATCTTAGCAATGGTTATCTCCGAGTGATATATTTAAGAGATTATTTTTATTAATTTAAAAATATTTTCTTCTATTTCCCAGATTATCTACTTCCAACAAGTTACTTTTAAGATTGGAGAGTGGAGGTAGGGGCAGGAGGAACAAGTCCTGAAAGTGTTTTGATTTTTTTTTCATCAGTGTGCATTATTTTTACTGTGAGCAAATTAATTCCAGTCTATTATTTCTTTCTTGAGGTTCAGCAACTAGAATTGGTGATTTATAGCAATGGGTGTAATGATTGTAAATTGGTAAATCCCATTGGGATTCAGATCAAAAGTTCAAGCTCAGAATCAGACAGATCTGGATTTGCAACCCACTCAGTTCTAACATTTATTGGCTATGTGGTCGTGGGCAAGTTATTTAATGATTCTAAAGCCCAGTAAAAAAAAAGTTGAGGGGAGATTTTAACAATTGTGAGGATTAAATGAGCCAATGCACATAAATTATATTGCACAGTGTCTGGCATATCGTATATACTTCGGTATCAATCACTTAATTATTAGAATAAATTTCCTGATTTGTTCCTCCTACTCCTCCTGATGATGCCCAACAATTTTCAAACATACTGGGTCAATGCCTTCTAAGCATTCTTGCATATAATAAGATTTATGTTTATGGGTTTATGGGTGTTAACTTATATGAAAGGACCTATTATTCTATACTTTTTTTTGTATCTCTACAATTCATCTCTCATGAATTCTGAGAGCAGGAAACATGATAATGGAAGATAGTTGAAATTCCATGTAACTTCACTACGATTTAAAATAATGACTGCTGTTTAATCTACAGGCATGCGAGTATATGTAGTCATAGAATTGTAGAGTCAAAGTTCTTTCAACTCCTCTTATCTAAACCCTTTATTTTAATTTTATATATTTGAAAATATCACTAGTTCATGGCACACACTGGTTAAGAAACCAGTTCCCTTACTCCTTGTCCTGCTCTTTCCTACTCTACCATACTGCCAAGTTAACTTACTTTGCCATTACTTTTATTTCTTGATCAAACTGTTGTTTCAGTTCTTCGGTGCTAATATCAACCATCTGAAAAAATAAAATAATATACAATATAATATATTATACAGTACAATAACCCCAAGGCTCCTAAAGCTAGAAAAGGGTGCAAGAGATTGTCTGGCTGATCCTGCTTTCTTTAATATTATTCTCCCCATTTTATAGAATAACCGAGAACTAGAAATATTAGTGATTTGCTCAAGGTCCCATGGCTGGTCAGTAGAAGGAAAAGAACCTTATAAACCATATAACCATACAAACTTCACTGAGTTATTGTGGGAACAAAATGAAATATTATGAGACTTCACTGCATAAACATTCCAAAAAAAAATTCAAGGTAACAGAAAACATAAGCAAATTTGAAGGCAAAAAGAAAAACAAAACCTACTGAGTATATGACAAACGGTGACTATTTTTACCACATAAATGTGTATTGTATTGACATTTTTAGATTATAATGACAGATCTACAATACACCAAATCAATAAGTAAATGATGAATATGATAATAGAAGTGGGTACAAAGGACGTAAAGAAGAAATTTTTCAATCTTTTTTCCAACTGTATATTTTCTAAACTATTTTTTATTTTTTTGAGGAAGATTAGCCTTGAGCTAACTGCTGCCAATCCTCCTCTTTTTGCTGAGGAAGACTGGCCCTGAGCTAACATCCATGCCCATCTTCCTCTACTTTATATGTGGGACGCCTACCACAGCATGGCCTGCCAAGTGATGCCGTGTCTGCACCTGGGATCCGAACCGGCAAACGCCGGGCCGCTGAAGCGGAACGTGTGCATTTAACCACTGCACCACCGGGCCAGCCCCTAAACTTTATTTTTAAATGAGAAAATAATACAAGAAAGTAATTTTTATAAAATTTCTTAGTGTCTTATCATCTAATCCTGATTGTGCATGAAACACTTTGTAGAGCACAACTTCTCAAATTCGTGAATCTCCCGAAATTATACGTATTATCATACATATGTGTACATAGCTATAATTTTGTAGAGATAGGATCCATAGCTTTCAACAAATTTTTAAATGTTAAGAACTACCAGCTTAGAATGATATTTATTTAAAGAAAATACGCACTGAAATAATATATTTCCTAAAGATTAATTTAAAACTTATATAGCACACTAGGGAACAACTGTTCCTTTAATTCTTTTTATTCCTGAAAATGTAACTTACTGCTGCAAGCTTCTTCACTGCTACCATTCTGTTGTTCACGTAGCCTTTATATACAACTCCAAAACCTCCCTCTCCCATTTTGTTACCACCGATAGAGACGGGTCGTTCATCAAAGTTATTTGTGACATTCTTCAGTTCATAAAATGAAAAACAGTGAAAACCTATAATGTCAGTAAAATAAGGAAAAAAGTGCTTCAATTAAAAAGAAATTGGTTTTAATAACTTCATTATTTTCTCAATTTGAATATTTTATACATATGCAAATATTTACAATGAATTAGGCATGATGGGGGAGAATAAAACCATTTGTTACATACAAATTTTACACTCTATCTTGAGAATTCTCTTTGGTGGTCCTCCACTCAAAAGTCTAGTCACTTGTTTTCTTTATAAAATGACCCTTTCAAGCTATGTAAATATTTACTTAATTTTTTCATATCTTCTGTGGATGTTTGTATGTCCTATTGCCTCTACTCATTGATAACACACTGAATACAATGAAAATGGTGCTTAATAAAAAACACAAAAGAGCCATTGTCAGTGTGTACAAACAAAAGGAGAGGTTTATTTTAAAGCAGTGATGGACATAACGACAAACCCACTAGTGGAAAGCACTGCAAATGTTACTTACGTGTATCACTGACTTCTAAGCTTCCATTTTCTGGACTTGAGGAGTCAGGTGGCACATAGTTTTGTTCAGGATTCTGCACAGGTATAACAGATGTCCTGTCTTTGCCATAGAGAGGTATCTGTTTCTGCTGAATTGTTATGGCTTCTTTAGAAGGTAGTATATTCACAGTTTTGGGAACAGCATCTGCCAAATGAAATTAAATATGAGTGTCCTTCTATATGAAAAAGTGTTTGTGAAAAAGTTAAACTAGGAACTAGGTTCATTTTACATCATTCCAGTTTCCACATGTTAACCCCATATTCTCACAGCACACACAAGAAGTTACCTAGTTAGAATCTAAGTTTCGATAAAGATGGGTAGAGAGGGTAAGGCGGTGTTTTCAGAGAGGGGTCCATGAACTGCCTGCATTGGAAGCACTGAAGTATTTGTTTACAAACATAGACTTTGAACCCAGTTCCAGAATTCTGAGGATGAGGTCTGGAATAGAGTTGATGAAGCTACATGTTTAACAAGAACCCCAGGTGATTCTTATGCGCACTGAATGGTGAGACCCACTGGTGTAAATGTCATCAAAGAGAAAAAAGTAAGGTTATGAGGTAACTAGATGCTAACCCACTGCAATACAATGTAAGGAAATCATGATCACAGAGTCCCATCGGGGTGGAAGTTGAGAGTGAAAAAAAAGCAAGAGCTCAAAAAAAAAAAAATTCCATCCTTATAAACTTCGTATTGGCACAAAACTACCTGACTTTAATAGTGGGATCAGACTCAATCATGAACCTCCATCTCCTTAGCAGCAAGTCCACCGTGTGCTATGTCTGGGGTGCTTGTTAACGAGTTGAAGAGAGTTGAAAGAATGAAAAGGAGTCTTAAATGTAAGGTTCATCTACTATGAGAAAAAAGCAAGAGTAAGAAGAAATGTTCCTATTTTTTCCATTTGTCTTTCCACCCTAATTGTTGATGCCCTAGGCACACTCAGTTTACCTGGTAGCAAAAGACTCGCAGGGGCAAAAAACTCGTTTTGGACCAAAAGATCCACAAGATCACCAACTGTGCAATTCGTGGTGCCCCAGTCAAACAGTAATTCACAAGTGGGACTTTTTCCAGTTTGAAGTAATGCTTCAAATCTCCTTCAAAGCAAGTAACAAAGAAACAAAATTAGTATGTAAATAGAGTTAACACGAAAATAGGAATTATTCTCCCTGCCCCTGCCTCGCCCACAGAACCTCCTATAATATGAAAGGAAAAGGACAGCAAGAGAACTAGCAAGAATTACGGAGAATAGGAAAGATAAGCTGAAGGAAAAAAGATGCCAAAGATGATGATAACATGAGTTAACATATACTGAACACTTACTGAGTATTTGCTTAGTGGGTTACAGGATGCAGACACATGAACTCCTTTAATTCTCAAACATACTATGAATATCATACTAATTTACTAATGAGAAGGCCAGGTGTGGAGAGGTAAAGTAACCAGCCCATAGCCACACAGCCAATAAGCTGTATCAAAATTGAGGTCCAAATTCAGATCTCACTTGACATAAGGGTGTGCTCTCAACTACTAAGCTATATATAATACTTCCCGACATGACTTACTAACTCGGCTAGCTATATGATTTTTAATAAACCAGCCTGCTTAAAGAAACAGAAGATTCGTAAACTTGGAGAATTCTTCCTTTGATCTTAACTATATTTCAGTTAAATTGAAGGGAAAACACAGATCAGTTTTTCATTCCCATTTCTTTAAAAATCAGGTTTGAAAAGTGACTTTTAAAAATATAAACAACATAGCTTTTTCCGTTTTTCCTCCAAATTTTTTAACAATTTGAAACCTATAGAAAAGTTGAAAGACTAACACCATGAGGGGGCTGGCCCCGTGGCCGAGTGGTTAAGTCCGTGCGCTCCGCTGCAGGCGGCCCAGTGTTTCGTTGCTTCGAATCCTGGGCAAGGACATGGTACTGCTCATCGAGCCATGCTGAGGCGGCGTCCACATGCTACAACTAGAAGGACCCACAACGAAGAATATACAACTATGTACTGGGGGGCTTTGGGGAGAAAAAGGAAAAAATAAAATCTTTAAAAAAAAAGAAAAAAAAAAGAAAAGTTGAAAGACTAACACCATGAACAATCATTTACCCTTCACTTAGATTCACCATTGGCCAATTGATAACATTTTGCCATGTTTGTGCTCTCGCCCTCTCCCTCTGTGTCTCTATCTGTGTGAGCTTTAGAGCGTAGGCCAGTTGCCTTGCAGAATGTCTCACAGTCTAGATTTGTCTGGCTATTTTCTCACGATTAAATTCAGGTTAAAAATTTTGTTAAGGACACTACACAGGTGACAATATGGCCTTCCCACTGTATCTCACCTGGAGGCACATAATGGCAGTTTGTGCCATTATTGGTGAAACAGGGTTTGTTTATCCGGTTGGGGAGGTGTACTTCAGGTTTTTCTCAATAAAAGTACCTTTCTTCTTCATAATTAATAAGTAATTGTGGATAATCTTTGGAAATCTTGCACATATCTTGTTCATCAACAACCTTTCACCTCGTGGTTTTACCACTCGCTCATGAGCCTTGCGTGAATCAATTACTCATTGGCGGTTCTAAATTGGCAACTTCCTAATTCTATCATTCTTCCAATAATTATTTGCTGCCATTATTCTCTAAAAGAGAGCTTTTTCTCCCCCCCACCACTGTCTTAACTATCCTCCAAAAGTTTTTAATAGTAGTATCAACAAACTATCTTCAAAAATTGGCTTTCAAGGTTTAAATTAAGCTTCTTTTAATTAATTTAAGATGTCATCCTTCATACAAGGAAACATTTCTTGGAAGGACTAATATTGGAGCTAAGGCTTTAGGTTCTTTATCAGGTTAACGCTGAAAATCACAAATAAATTTTTTTCCTCTTGCCTCCAAAGACAGATTTTGACATAGGTTTGGGCTGAAATAACAGGCAAAAATAAAATCTGGACTCATATTTTACACCAAATGAAGCACAGATAAATAGAGAGAAAGAATGGAAGTTATCTGAAGATAGTATTGAAAAATCCTGGCTATGAACTAAGAATTCTGTTCATAGATGTGTACGTTTGCAAGCAACTTTAAAATGTCAATTTGAAGAATTCCCAAAATACACTGTTAAAGTTAACTAGAGATTCACACACTTAGAAGTTCAGGCTCCAGAATTTTGCTAGAAATTCTTATATTCTTATGTCACTTTAATCTGGAAATCACGTGTGAGGCACAGTGAACTGTATTTGGCTTGCCAAACAGAATTAGAGTAAAATTGGGACTCTTAAATCTAACCTAAAAACTTATTTGCAAGATCACTATATTAGCCTAGTTGATATATTGGAGAATGAAGGAAAAGTTGCAAGAAAAAAAAAAATAAGGTTATTAATTACCATTATCTCCCCTAGTGAGAGGCTTACTTTCTGCAACATTAGACAGTATTTATACATATTAATCATTCTAGATTGTGATGTAAGAATTTAAAAAGAAAAAGAATGTTATAGGTTACCTTATGTGAAACTGATTGTATCTATCATCACCAGATGGTTTCTTAATAGCTACTGCCAACTTCTTCCATCCTTCTTGAGGATCAATAAAATCTGATAGCTTCCTAATTAGTCCAAGGTTGAGGCAGCGCACATATGTTGATGGGGTGATGGGTTTGTTCATCTTCTATCCCTAAAAATATGGAATATTCTCATTAAAATTTTACAGTAGTTTTAACGATGACATGTAAGCTTACACATCACACTTTGCTAAAACATATGAAATGCTGGCAACTATGACGCCATCATAAAGGAACACTCCAAAGTCAACTAGCTGATAGCCTAAGAAGAAATTAAAATTGTAGTTTATTTGTCTAATTATCCTCTGAGCTTGCTTGCTTTCTCCACCTATAAATATCAATTAAAAAACTGAAGGATTTTTTTTTCTGACACTGACATTTTCCGAGTGAAATTTACACAAAGGAGCAAAAAGTTTACTTTTTCAGAAAAATTCCTGTGAACATACTCAGGAATCAAATCTATTAATAAAAGAGATCTATTTTTCAATTTAAAATTTTTTTTCTCAATCAGTATTTCTTTACTATTAAATACTTATGCAACACTCTGGTAGAAGTAAAAAAAAAATATGTCCTGAAATAATCTGTATACAATTAAAAGATATGGTCTATTCACCACCTTTTCATATAACATGTTCTTTCTTGACTCCTCCACGTTTTTTGAGTCCATCAGACTTGCCTCATCACAATTCATTCCCTATTAAACCAAACCCTGTGGTTCACCACTTTACTCTCTAGACAGAAACTTTATTTCCTGTCTCCTTTTTCTTCTGCTACTCCACCCTGGAAAGCTGCAGCCAGGGATAAATCTCACAATTTTATTTGTACACCAGTGCTTCTGAATACAGCTGTAAAGAACTAGATAACTGAGCAGACTGGTGTGAATGCAAATTTATGGGGACCCCCTTTCCACTGGGCCTTCAACATTGCTGTTAATCCTTTTATTGTCTTTGCTCATTACCCTTAGGGACCATTTCACATCTTTACCTTTCTCACATCGTTTTATTTGATCTCCATGTTCCTATTCTCAGCAGGTGGTGACCTTTCCTTCTAATTAATCGAGACAAATAGATTCAGATATTCTTCTGTCAATTATTCTCCTGCTGGGACCAGCCCTGTGGCCGAGTGGTTAAGTCTGCGCGTTCTGCTTCACTGGCCCAGGGTTTTACCGGTTTGGATCCCGGGTATGGACATGGCACCGCTCATCAAGCCATGCTGAGGCGGCGTCCCACATAGCACAACCAGAGGCACTCATAACTAGAATATCCAACTATGTACTGGGAGCTTTTGGGGAGAAGAAGAAGAGGAAAAAGAAAGATTGGCAACAGATGTTAGCTCAGATGCCAATCTTTTAAACAAAAAAGCAGTCTCTTTGTTTATCCACTTGAATATGGATGTATTACATTAAAAAAATTTATTCTCCTGCTCCCTTATGTATTTTTATTTTTAAAATGCAATATAATTAATTTTCAGAGTAAAGATTATATTCGTGTGGTCCCAAATTCAGAAACTATAAATGAGTAGGCAGCAAAAAGCCCCCCTGTATCCTTGGCCTTTTTATTAATATTGTCTTCTCTTTGGCCTTCTTTGACCACCACATCTAAGTGGATCTATCCTCAACCTAATTATCTTTCCTTATGGCACAATGTGTTTGTAATCGCATATTTATTTGTTTAGTTGCTTACTAACTGTCTCCTCCATTAAACTCTAAGCTCCATTAGTTCAGGGACCATGCTCATTTTATTCACTAACATATAACAAGTGACCAGCGCATTGTAGATATTACAAAGCTGTTGTTAAGTGTTGTTAAGTGCTAGGAATAAATGAATTTCTTACCCTGTACCATGCTGGGTGATTTATTTATTTCACTTAGTCCTCACAGTGACTAAGGCAGTTTTATCATCTCTATTTCATCAAGGTAGCAAGTGAAAGAGCTAGGACTTGAACCCATATCTGACTCCAAAATTCATGCCATATGCCTCTGCTTCTGTAACTCAATGCATTGTTCGTGTCATTCTCTTTTCTAGAAAGACTAGTCATTTCCTTTCATATGTTCATATAGTCAAAAAACAGATATCAGGATTGGTACTAAGCGATGGAAGCTATAGAGAAGAGGAAATCTTTGTTTTAAGCTTCTTAGTCTAGCAGGAGATACAACGAGTGATAAATGTTACAAGAGGTGTGTGAAGAGTGCTATGGGGCCCAGAGAAGGAGCACCAAGCTGAGGCAGTCTGAAGGAGGTACAGCAAGACAAAGTTGGGTGGGGTGAGAGGCTGAAAGGATGAGTGAAAAGGAATGAGGATAAACCCAAAAGGAAACTCCAGGCACCAGGAATAGCACAGGAGAGCATGAATTAGGCTCAGGCAAGGCATTTGCTATGGCTGGACCATAGAAGGCATGTCATTAAGTAATAAAGAGATGAGGCTGGAGAGGGAGGCAGGGCCAAACCATCATGTGCCTCGTACGCCAAGACCAGCAGTTGAAACTCTACATTAAAAGTTACAGAGGAGCCATTTCAGGATTTCAAGGAAAGCTTTTATGTGATCTTATGTGGTTAAGCGTATTCCTCCCGATAAAAAATTGAAGGGATGTATACTGAGGCAAGGAGAGCACTTTGAAAACTTTGCAATAATCTAAGTGAGCAGAAACGAATGCGTGAAAAAAGTATATGGTTGGGGAAAAAAGAGGAGAAAGATTCAAAGATTTAGGAGGCCAAATCAAAATAATTTCATGAAAGATCAGATATTAGAGGGAAAGGAGAGTGTGGGAAACAAAGAAGCTGATTCCTGGCTTTTTCGGCTTGGGCAATTAGGTAGATGATGGAGGAAATGAAGTGTTTAGTTCTGGTCATGTTAAAGGTGAAATATCTACCTCTGGCACTGTCTAGGGGAGTTAGCACAAAGGAGCTGGATATATGCTCTGGAGCCTAGGAGAAGAGGTTTAGGTAAAGAATGTTTGCTATATGAGCATTCTCATATGTTCATATATGAATAGCAGGTTGAAGCAACAAGTAAATGCCTGTTAGAAATATATAGAATGTGAAGAAATGAAAAGAAAGAAGAACTCTTAAAAAGTATTGATAAGTCATGGAGGTAAGAAGAAAACCAGGACAGTAGCAGATTAGAGATTTCTAGGATGGCGGATAGGCTGGTATAAAAGACTCAAAGAGGTCAAATAAATACTGACGGATGTGCTAGATTTGGAAACCAGAAGGCCACTGGGTAACTTAAGAACAGTTTTAGTGGAGCAGCAAGTGAATGGTAGAAATGCATTTTCCAAGAAGTCTGGCTAAGAAGGAAAGAAGAGAGAGAGGGAAAGAAGGCAGCAGTTTGCAAACTTGGTCTCAGTACTGTTTACATTCTTAAAAATTATTGTGGACTCCAAAGAGCTTTGTTTATGTCAGTTATATCTACGAATATCTACCATTTTAGAAATTGACACTGAGAAATTTAAAAATTGCTTATTAATTCATTTAAAAATAATAATAAATGTACTCCATGTTAGCATACATATTGTAATAAAAAATAACTATATTTTCCAAAAGCAAAATAGAAGAGTGACATTGTTTTACAGTTTTGCAAATTTCCCTAATGTTTAACTTAACAGAAGACAGTTGGATTCTCATATCTGCTTCTGCATTTAATCTGCTGCAATATATCATTTTGGTTGATGTATATAGAGAAAATCCAGCTTCACACAGACATATAGCTGGAAAAGGGAAGAGGTTTTTCTGTGTGTGTGTGTGTGTGTGTGTGTGCTGAGGAAGACTGCCCCAAGCTAACATCTGTTGCCAATCTTCCTCTATTTTGTATGTAGGTTGCGGCCACAGCATGGCTGAGGAGTAATGTGGGTCTGCACCTGGGATCCGAACCGGTGAACCCGGGCCACCAAAGTGGAGCATACCACTCTTTAACCACTATGCCCCAAAGCCAGCCCTGGGAGAAGTATTTTAACAGCCTTCTCACAAAGTAGTAGATATTTTCCTTTGATACTATACTAAAACTTGACAAGAGATAATTTCTTAAAAGTTAGCTGCAACGTGGAATCTAAAACCATATCAGTGAACTCTGTCACATTAAAATTCATTGCTCACTGAATGAATCTTTTACCCATAGGTGATTTTGACATTATGAACTTCTTGAAAGAGACTTGGGGACCCCCATGATCCCTGAGAACTGTTGGTTTAAGGTGTAAGACTTAAGCTTGGTTGAAGACACAAAAGGGATAACGAATTGAGTCTAGGTGAAGAGGTCAGCCTAGAATAGAAGGCAGCCTTTTGCTCTGAATCTAGAAAGAGGGAAGCAGACGTTTAATTACACGTATATTTGAAGGGAGAGGGAGAATTCCCACGCAATGTTGTTTTCTCTGTGAAGCAGGAGGTGAGGTACAAGAATTGCCCAAGAACCTTGAGAGTCATCTGGTAAATGCCTACTATTCCTTCAAGCCTAACGCACAGGCACTATTGGTCACTGTGATAGTCATCTCTTTTGTTCCAAACTGTCACCTGGTCACTCTTCTATTATAACAATTATATTTTAATATTTATGTGTCTGTTTTTTCTCCTAGAGAGTGTGCTCTCCTGAGCAGGGACCCAACCAAATTCAGCTTTAGCAGCTACTCAAATTACTTGTGCTGAATGAGAGAAAGACTTATGTTTTTAAATTAAGAAATCATATCTGACTATAGATTTTGCAGTTGCTCCATTCACATTATTTTTTCCTTATTTATCCAGATTTCTCTCCACTTTAAGAAGTACAATGTGATTGCCAAAGCTAGTAAAGGTAGAACTGCTTAGTAATCCTAAAAGCTAGAGCTGAAATACAGGGAACTGAGAATAAAACAGTTGATTTTAAGACCAAGGACAAATTCTGTAGCTCTCCTGCACGTAGATTTCCAGCAGAGGTGATGGCACAGGGATACCAGGGAAAGGAAGGCCTTCTAACAACTTCTCCATACATATACACTTGGAAGTTCTACATCTCAGAATGTAAAATTTTTGTTGAAACATGCATTCTATACTACCACCAACACATATTTAGAAGAACATACACCAAAATATTAGCCGTGGTTACCTCTTGACAGTGATTTTTATGGCTGTTTTATTTTTGTTGGCTTTTCTGCATCTTCAATAATGAAAATAAATTATTTGTGCAGAAAAATTTTAAAGTGTCACCTCTTTCAAAGTGTTCAAGATTTTACTTTAGCGCACTTAGGATTCACAGAAGTGGAAAAGGATATATTGCTTATAAATAAATAAATAAATAAATAAATAAATAAATAAATAAATAAATAAATATCTCCATGACTAGTTTTTCATGCCATTAATTCTCATGGTAAAGAAAAACCATTCATGTTTTCAAACAGGACAACTCAGACAGGAATACAAGGTAAGGTGATAACTGAGAAATATACTTAAACCAGCATCCATCTGTGGAACCCAATGCCTTCCTACTCATATGCACGTTCACAAACAAAGTACTGCGCCCAAAATAGGAATTCAAAGAATTCCTGTCAAGTGAATTAATAAAGTTTTCAGACTGTGCTTTATTATCACTCTGATCAGAGGGAGAGAACATAGAGGGGTGGAGGGAAGAGGGACTTTGAAGCGACATGGGCCTGGGTTCTAACACAGCTCTTCCACAAACCAACTGTGACCAGGGTCAATAATGTAATTTCTCTGGACCTTGGTTTCTTCATCTGAAAAACAGAGATGGAAACAGCTAAGAGTTGCTGTAATATTTAAAATCAACAAACGTGTAGGGCCTAATCCTATCAATAATAGGTGATCAAAAACAGATGTGGTGATTATTTTATGGAAGAAGTTATTTTTATATCATATTAAAAAAAGAAATGTGAAGAGTTGTATTTAAGCTCAATTTTCAGAATAGTGGTGAGGGGATACTGAGAAAATGGAAATAAGAGGACTGGGAATATAGCTAAGCCTTTAGATGGTGGTAGGTCTTATTTTTCAAGTATAGTATGTTTAATATGTTTATAACCTTCCTAAAATACATTATTCACTCCCAAGCTTTCTTAAGCAAAATATGCTTGACAACCATTAATCTTTATTTCTGGAAAACTCAAAATCATCTTTATGAGCAAAAGCTGGTGATACCTTCCAGACCTATTAAATTATATACGGCTGCCCTTCTCAAACTGGGATCTGTGCTGGTATGCCATAGATTAGACATAACACATCATTCTTAAACATTGTTTTAACTCAATGGTAAGTTATTTAAAATGCTTTGTCTATATTAAAAAATATTATTCATTCATCAAATATTTACTAGGTATCTACTTGTGCTATTGATCCCTGGAGATAAAGCATTAGGAAAACAAGAAAAAAAATAACTGAACTCATGGAGCTTATATTCTAACAGAGGAAGACAGGCAATAAGCAAATAAACTTGATAGTACATTAGATGGTGCTAAATGGAGTGGAAAAAAAATAAACAGAAAAGGGTTTCAATTTTAAATAAGGTAATCAGAGTAGGACTCAATAAGAGGGTGTCATTTGAGTAAAGGCTTGAAGAAATGAGAAAGCCACAGAGAAAGGATTATCTGTGGGAAAAGTTTCTGGGCAAAGAAACAGTAACTGCAAGGGTCTGAAGTGGGCCCGCTGAGAAAGAGCAAGGAGAGAGAGACTGGAGAGGAGGGAGCAGGAAAGTAACAGATTAGATGAGAGAGGTAAGGGGCCAGGTCTCCTAGGGCCTTGCTGACTTTGTTTATCCTGAGTGAGATGAGAAGAGAGTGGAGGTTTTGAGAACACTGGGGTTACAGCTGAGAATAATGGATACTGGAGGAAGGGCAGAGAAGCAGGGAGAGACCAACCAGCAGAGCACACCAATAATCCAGGTGGGAGGTGCTGGCAGCCTGGACCAGAGTGGGAGCAGAGAAGGTGCCAAGTCCTGGAATGATGGATGCTTTCTGAGGTAGAGCAAATAGAAACCTATGTGCTGATGTGAAGGGTGGGAAGACGGCACCAAGGTTTTTGGCCTGAACAAGTTTCCTGACATTTACTGAGATGGAGAAGACTCTGGAAGGAGCAAATTTGGCCCGGAAGATCAGGAGCTCGGTTTGCACAGGCAGAAAACAAACTTCAAATGAATGTTTAGTATGCAAACTGGAGAATAAAATAAATCGGAACCGACAGACGTCTTCAAGGATTAACCCCCGAAATGGAAAAGGCAGAGTTTAATATTCTCTGCTCTTAGGGCTCCTTGGGCAGATACGTTTTTGAGACACTAACAGAGCTATGTGTTCCCATTCTAAATAGCTAAAGCGCTTTCTCATGGTCTGCCTTTCATCCCTTTGCTGCTTCTCTTACTTCCAGGCTGTCAGGTCCACTTTTCCCATCTGATAAGGCACTTATCTGATCCTTACAACCCCTCTCCACTTTCTAATTTCCTGGAAGCTTGGAAGCCGGAGAACAAGCTAATTAGAATCCCGTGGAGGCTCAGAATGCTTTCCACGACACGAGCATCTCCGCCGGTGCTGGCCTCACTTCCTGGTTCTCAGGAAAAGAGATTTCATTTCGTAAACGGGTTCTCGGAACACAGCGCCTGGGAGTGGGGAAACCTGAAGCGAGGTCCGACGGAGCTGGCTGGACCAACGCCTGGGGCCGCCTCCCCACGCCCCAGCTTCCTCCTCAGCTCCCACTAACTTTCGGATCCCCAGGCACCCACCCAAGCCTTTATCCCGGAGCAAGCTCTGCGCACTCGACCTACTTCCTCTCTAACTCCTCTCACTTTGAAGCAAAGGCGACTTTCCTTACGAAAGGGTCCCTGGAGCAGAGGGACGGACGCCGGGGCTCGGACCTCGGAGCACTTGCGCCGAAGGAGGCGTGCACGGCCGGAATCCCTTACCTGCCCAGGTGCGAGGCACGGGGGGCGGGCGGGGCGCCGCCGGGCTAAGCCAGAGGCCGAGGAACCAGCTCACAGCCCAGGGCCGGGCCGGGGCGGGGCCAACCAGGCAGGCCCCGCCCATGCCCCGCCTCCACCCCGTTCTCTTCCTCTTTGGGCCTCCAGGCGGCTCCACATCGTGAGAAATTCCAGGTCTCGCGTAAGGCACTTCTTAAAGTGGGAGCCTGCCCCTTTAAATACGCCTCGGTCGGAGGCCAAATAGTTTAAGGCTTCCGGGCATGCGCACAGCATTGCGCCGAGGAATGCCTTAACCTGGACGTGAGGTAGGCCGACTCAAGATTCTTGCGCGATGTGGGGCTTGTGTGTGGTGGATGACAAGGTTGGCATTGAGACCCCGACCCTTTGACCCCAAAAGGAGGGCCACGTAGGCTAGTATCGCGCCCTGGGACAGGCGGGGGTGGACAGGGAGCAGGGAGCAGAAGCAAGTGGAGCTGCCGGCGGTGCGTGGGGGTGCTTTTGGACGCTCCAGGAGGCGGCGCCTTTAGTGCAGCGGGTTGGTGGCCGAAGTAGGACGTAGCAGTGCGTTCGGCGGAGCTTCAGCGATTGGTGAAGGAAGAGCATGAGGGAAGAGGCGCCACCTTCCTCCGTTTCTAGCGTTTTCCCAGCATCTGTCGTCAATCAGCAATTCCCCAACCTTGGGTCAGCCAAACTACCCTTCTCCCCTCTGCCCCGCACCCTCGTCACCAAATCTGTTGCTTAGGAACACTGCAGTTTTCTGCTTTACTCCACGTGGGCTCCTTGGCTGCCCTCCAGCTTGGTTCCACTCTTTTACTAAGATGCTTGGTTGTCCCCTATTCTCCCCAAGTGGTTCTGCCTATTCCACTAGCTTAGAATGTCTTCATAACTTCTCATTTTTGGGGAAAGAGTAAATCAGTATTCTTTCCAAGGCCAGTCCTACACCTATGCCCTTGATCACACCGCTTTGCAACTCCTGTAACTCTTCATCGCGCTCAGTGCCATCAGTCATCTTACTAAAGCATCTTTTTGGATTGTGTCATTTTCCTATGCAAACACTTCCAGTGGCCATCCTTTGACCACTCAATGGATTCTAAATCTTTGACATGGCATTTAGTGTCTTATATAGTTTACACTAATTCAGCTGTATTTTCCAGAACTATTCTAGAAAGCTTTTTCTTCTACTGCTGTGTATCTGGGCTGTTCAGTTTTCTCTAGCACATGGTATATTTCGTTTGCACATTACTTATGATATGTCTCTGCCTCATTTCTGGTTTTTGAACCGTTTTGAGGACTTAGTTGGCTACTTCTTGCATTGTGCTTTTACTGATTATCATAGGCAAAAGTGATCTTTCTTTCTTCCTCTTCAGCTCTTATTTTGTACTGGTTGTGTCATTTATTCAACAATCATTATTGATTGTGTGCATACTATGTGCTTAACAATGTTCTAAATTGGAGAATAGACAGAGTCCAGAATCTTAGAAGTCTTTGGAAGCCAAGGTAAATAACTGGGATTTTATTACAAATGTAATTAGAGGGTTTTAAAACAGGGTTATGTTATGATTTAATTTACCTTTTAAGTCATCATTGTGACTGCTATGTGGAGAATGGGCTATGGTGGACTAGTAGTAGAAGCAGAGATTAGAGGCCTTCATAATGTATAAGAATTTCTGGAATGGTAGTACTAAAGTAGAGGTGGTGAAGGGACAGCAGGAATAATCAGAGAGCCAGATACTTAAAGTTGATGCAATTTTTGGTGATGAGAAAGTAAAAACTATGACCAAGATGAAGTGGAAGTGGGTCGAGGTTGAGACTGAGGAACCAAGGGACCACAACATTAAATGGATGATCCAAATGGATGGTCATGGAAGTCGTGCTGGATAGGAAGACAGTGAACCAGGTGTTAAAGTCATCAGTGAATGAAGTCGAGTCAACCAAGGACCAGAGAAAGAATGACAGCAGATGGTAGAGCCTGATGGCATGAACTTCAAAGGAACTGGGATTTTGGGAGGTAGAGGAAGAAGAAATGGTTTGGAAGGAGCAGTGGCAAACAGAGAAAATATTTATAACCTCTAGGTCCTAAGTTAGGTGGGTGTGAAAGGAAAAATAGCCTTCACTTGAGAGGACTACAGAAGAAGCCTGAGGAAATAGCCACATGTCAGTTAGGGCAAGAAACTAAGGCGACTGTAAGGGAAATTAAGGAATGAACGGAAATCAATATATCTGTATATATTCCCTAGGAAATTGGGATATAGAAGATTTGCAGTGATTTCTACATGGTGTAGTAGAAAGGCTGGAGGTGGGTTTGCTAAATTGGTTCAGATTGGTAGAATACCCTGTAGAAATGGGATTAAGGTCCAGATGATAATAACCTGGAGAGTGTGGTTAATGCAAAGAACTGAGTAGCATGGTGCCCCTGGGCATTTTATCTTTCTTGTAGCTCCATCTGGTATGGTAGCCATGGGTTGTGTGAAGGGTGAGTAAAGTCTTCCTCAGAGGATTATTCTCTCGTCTACTGCTTCACTAAGATCTGTAAGGGTTTCATCTCTCTGATGCCAGTGATATGACTGGAATTTTCCTCTGGGTCAACCTCAAAAGTTTGTATCTGTACAAGTTTGTAAATGGGCTTTCAAGAAGGCTGAAGCTCCAGGATTAACTTAAGCCTACCTTAGAGCATAGTTGTATTACGGGTTGGTATTTAGAACTTCATTTATATATCAATTTGGACTGTTTATTCCTGTCTTCTCATCCCTTCTCCCATCCCTAACCCCTAGTGTTTAAAAATCTAGCACAAATTCTCTGGAATTAGCTGGAAATTTTAGGTTTTAGGGGTAGGGTTTAGACAAATCATTGTAAACAGTCCTATGTTCTAGTCTCTTTTTTTGTGGGCCTACAAATTTTTTTTTTTGAGGAAGATTAGCCCTGAGTTAACATCTGCTGCCAATCCTCCTCTTTTTTTTTTTTTGCCGAGGAAGACTGGCCCTGAGCTAACATTGTGCTCATCTTCCTCCACTTTATATGTGGGACACCTACCACAGCATGGCTCCCCAAGTGGTGCCATGTCTCCAACCTGGAATCCAAACTGGCAAACCCCGGGCTGCTGAAATGGAACGTGGGAACTTAACCACTGTGCCACTGGGCCGGCCCCTACAAATGGTTTTTTAATGTAGACTTGAAACTGACCCATTTTAATCCTGGATAATAGATGGAATCGTGGAGTGCGTGAACAGTCAAGTTGCAAATCACCAGTTATACCAGAGAAAGTTTGCCTGTTAATTCATCTTGGTACAGGAGTGTCAAAATACACATGATATGTAGTTTAAGGAGTCTCAGAATTGAAAGGGGGAAAGAATTAAATCCTACAGATTTGTTTCTTTCTTGTTATCCACAACTTTTATTTCTGGTAACTGACTGCCTCTTTGTTTCTTTTGTAGGCCTTGTTATTTAAGAATGGAAGAGGATGTAGACTTTAGAATCAGGTTTAGTTCTTTGTGTTTCATTACTGATCATGTTGGCTTTCGTGGCACTATAAAAAGCTCACCAAGTGACTTTGTTGTTATTGAGATTGATGAACAGGGTCAGTTAGTTAATAAGGCCATTGATGACCCTGTTTACAAGATTAGTAAAGTACAACCTGAGCCAAATAATTTTGCCAAAAAAACAAAGCTAGATCTTCAAAATTTGTCCTTTGAAGAGAGAAGCAACCAAGAAGTCAGTACTTTGGCTGGGTGCTCCGATGATGACCAAAATCACCAGTCTCGTTCAGAAAAGGAAGATACTGTCAAGGATCGAGCTTCCAAAGGTGAAGAAGGAAAAGTTGATATAATAAGCTCCTTGTTAGATGAAAGAACTAATGAATTACTGAATCAGTTTGCCGGTGACGTAAAAGAGAAGTGGAGTTCTAAAACTGAGCTAATTGGACCGTCTCCTGAATTCTCATTAGGCAGAATCCTTGACAAAAACCAGAGGGCTATTTTGCATAGTGCTATTAGGCAGAAATTTCCTTTTTTGGTAACTGTAGGAAAAAACAGTGAAATATTTGTAAAGCCAAATCTTGAGTATAAAGAACTCTGTCACTTGGTATCTGAAGAAGAAGCTTTTGACTTTTTTAAATATTTGGACGCAAAGAAAGAAAATTCCAGATTTACCTTTAAACCTGACACAAACAAAGACCACAGAAAAGCTGTCCACCATTTTGTCAACAAAAAGTTTGGAAACCTTGTGGAAACCAAATCTTTTCCTGGACTGAATTACAATGCTAGTAATCCAAATGTAGTGATAACAGTAAGATTTCGGGAAAAAGTGCACAAACACAGGAAAAGATCTCTTGTTGAATGCCCGGAAGGAAAAGTTATACATACAGGTAATTAATAAATCATTGCCATTTTCTTGGATAAACTTAGTTAAAATTGTGTGAAAGCTGAATAATTTCAGATGAATTAAATGGACTTGTCCAGAGGAATATTGGAAAAAATATATGGGTCTGTTTTTTAATGGAAGATAAAGCCTTTCAAATTACACTAATTGTAAAAATTAACCTTATTGATGAAAGTGTGGTTAACATAGACTTATAGTTAACATAGTCACAGATGTACGTTTGAAGCAGTTATTTTGTGTTTCATAAGTTTTAGCGGAAGTAAATCTTAATTGCATATTTTGAAAGTTAATTAAAATTTAGTATTTGGAGATAAGTGGAATATGTTTGCTGTGCTTGGGAAAGTGAAGAGAATACCTTGTAATCTGAAACAATTGAACTTCACTACCCAAGGTAGGGAACCTGAAAATTTACAGAGAGCACCTTCCTTTGGCTCTGTCAGTCTTTTAGAGAAGAGGTTCTCAAACTTTAGCATGCATTATAATCACCAAAAGGGCTTGTTAAAACTGATTTCTGAGCCCTTTCCTCAGAGTTTCTGATTTAGATGGTTTACAGCTAGGCTTTCACAAATTCCCAGGTCGTACTTTTTCTGCTGGCCTGGGGACCACATTTCGAGAATCACTGCTTTAGGGCGTATATTCAATTCCTAAGGTGGGATGGAACTGATGAAATCTCGCTCTGAGGTTTTGCTGACCAGTTTTAATTGGCCCATATCCTACAGGAAGGATGGGAATTGTTTCAAAAGGTTATGTTTTATAAATTTATACAGCAAAGCACTTAAGATAAAACCAGCAACCCAGATTTGCACAGATGTGTATGGCACAGAAACAGGATTGTACTATGTGGGGACTCTGGTGTAAATGAAAAGGGTTTGGACCTTAGAGCTGTGTGTATTTGATTTTACATTATGACTTTAATTCATAAAAAGATTTAAGAACTTCTTAATTTCTTTAAGACTTAGTTTTCACAAATATAAAAATGAAAGGATAATACCATGGGCAAGTTACTTAACAGTTCATAATTTTGGGTTGTATTTTAAAAATGGAATAGTGATAAAGCCTAATTCAGAATGGTAGTCTAAGGATTAAGTGAAATAAGTAATGAAAATGTTTAATATGTAATAGTTACTCAAATGTTAGTGTCATCTCTCCTGGAAATTTCTGTCTGGTTGTGTGACTGCCTTTTCCATGAGAAAGGTGCTAGCATAGGACATAGGCATGCAATAAATGTTCACAGATGAATCTATTTTGAAGGAAAAACAAAAGTAGCTTTACATGGGGAGGGGGAAATTGCTGGTAAATGATTTAGGCAGCTATAGATTTTATATTACTTGACGTTCTAACAGTATTAATTTGAGTTAATGAGCCAAAAAATTGTGGAAACTTTTTATATATAATAGTTTATATTAGTTTGACAAAAACTATGAATAATTGGAGGGCTATCTTGAAGGGAGGAATTGAACGTTCGCCAGAGGACAGTATAAAGATGCTGGGATGCCTACAAGTCCAAGAACAAAGAAGAAGACAAAGATAAATTTTGCCTATCCCAGATTTTACTTAGGCCACCCTTTTTTTAGAACCAAAAGAATTCATATAAAAAAAATTTCTCAATAAGTAGACTTGACTGAAAAGGAGAAACTTTAAAAAAAGGTTTATTATTTTTTAATTGTAAAATATACATATAATAAAATTTATCATTTTATCCATTTTTAAGTGTATAGTTCGATGGCATTCAATACGTTTACCTTATTGTGCAGTCATCACCACCATCCTTCTCTAGAACTTTTTCATCTTCTATACCCATTTCAAGCTCTATACCCATTAAAAGAATAACTCCTTTCCCCGTTTCCCCAGCACCTGGCATCCACCATTCTGCTTTCTATTTCTATGAATTTAACTACTCTAGGTACTTCATATAGGTGCAATCCACAGTATTCGTCCTTTCGTGAGTGGCTTATTTCACTTAGCGTAAGTCTTCATGGTTCTTCCATATTGTACATGTGTTAGAATTTCCTTCCTTTTTAAGGCTGAATAATATTCCGTTGTCTGTATATAACATATTTTATTTATCCATTCGTCTGCCAATGGACATTCCATCTTTTTGCTATTGTGAATAATGCTGCTTTGAACATGGCTGTAAAAATCTCTCTTCAAGTCCTCCTTTCAGTTCTTTTGGGTATATACCCAGAAGTGGAATTGCTGGATCATTCGGTAATTCTGTGTTTAATTTTTTGAGGAACCACCATACCGTTTTCCTAGTACACTTTTTTGAAGAAAGACTTCTATGAAAGACTTAAGCGTCCAATGGAATTTTCACTTTAGGTATTGTGCTTTCCAGCTCTAAAAGTTTCATTTGGTTCTTTCTTAGGTCTTCGATTTCTTATTATGTTCACCTTTTCCTATAATCTTTGGGCCTATTCTTAACAGGTCTTTAAAGACACTTGTCTGCTAATTCCATCTCTGTCATTTGTGGGTCTGTTTTTATTGACTGACTTTTATTCGGGTCACATTTTCCTGCTTCTTTGCGTATATAGTAATATTTTTTGGAGGCCAAATACTGTGAATGTTACCTTGTTCAGTGTCTGGATTTTGTTGTCTTCTTTTAATGAGTGTTGAACTTTGTTTTGGCAGGTAGGATGTAATGTGCATATGCATTTGAAGCTCTCTTTTGAGTTTTATTAAGGGAGGTTTGGAGTAGGCTTTACTCAAGGGCTGTTATATAGCTCTGCTATTATAGCTTGATCCTCTCTGGTTTCTACTGAATACCCTTGCTGTTTAAATAGATCTCTCTTCTCTGGCAGGTCTCCAGCCTTGTGTAATCTCTGGCAGCTTACAAGTGCCTGGTATTTCATTGTCCAGCCTGGTAGGATGTGGTAACCAGCATCCAAATGGCCCCCAGTAATCCTTAACTCCTGGTCTTCCTGTCCTTGTGTAGTCCCCACCTACACTGAATCAGGGCCAGCCTGTTTGACCAGTAGAATATTTCAGAAGTGACAGTGAATTACTTCTGAGTGTAGGTCATAGATGGCATTTCATGTTACTCACTCTGACAGAAGCAAACCATCACACCTTGAAAACACTCAAGAATCCCTGTGAAGGGAAACTGAAGCCTCCCACCAACAGCCAGCACCAACTTCCGGCTGCTGTGAGTGAGACGTCTTAGAAGCAGACCCTCTAGCTCAGCTACTTCACAGTAGACCTCAAGCCAGAACTGTCTAACGTCTGAATTCCTGATCCACAAAAGCTGTGTGGGGGAGTGTATTAGGGTCCTCAGCCTACCATAGCAAAATACTCTATACTGGGTGACTTAAACAACAAAAATTTATTTTCTCACAGTTCTGGAGACTGGAAGTACCAGATCAAGGTGCTGGCAGGGTTGGTGTCCAGTGAGGGCTTTCCCCCTTGGGTTTCAGACAGCCACCTCCTCACTGTGTGCTCACATGACCTCTTTGTGTGCTCATGGAGAGAGAGATTGAGAGAGAGAGTTCTCCTGTGTCTCTTATAAGGACACTAATCTTAGTGAATCAGGGCCCCACTCTTATGACCTCATTTACATTAATTACTTCTTTCAGAGGTCCCATTCTTCAAATATTGCTACAGTGGGGTTAGTGCTTTAATTTATGAATTTTAGGGGGATACAGGCATTCAATCCCTAAGAGATAGTAAATGATTATTGTTGGTTTATGTCACGGGGATTTAGAGTGATTTATTATGCAGCATTAGATAACTGAGATTTTGGTACCAGAAATGGGTTGCTGCTGTAACAAAAACCTAAAACCTGTGGCAGCAATGCCTCTGGGACCTGTTGGCAGGTAGAAGTTTGAAGGTACTTCAGGGAAGCTGTCAATGAGAGTTTAAAGGAAAATATAATTAGAACCTGAAAGAAAGGGATCTTTATTATGTAGTGGCAGAAAGTTTGGCAACACTCTTACCTGTAGTAAAATGGAAAATAGAAAGTGTATCTAAAGAAGGGGTGCTCTAACTAAAGAGATTTGCAGGCAAAGTTGAAGGTGCCACTTGGATTGTTTTCAGGGCTTATCGTAAAATTCTGAAGGAATGACTGTTAGATATAAAGGGGCCAGGACATGCTAGGTTCAACAATAATTTTTCTAAAAAAATAAATTCTTAGCCTCTCCAGTTGGCACATGTTGTTTAAATTAAGAAATGACTTCCAGGCAAAGAGGAAATCATGGCAGGTCAGGGCAACAGGACAACATGTTCTATCAAGGAAATCTAGGGTGTGATTGTAAATCCTTTTTTAAAATTTTAGGAAGATTTAAAGCGGTGTCTCAGAGGGGCTGGCCCCGTGGCCGAGTGGTTAAGTTCGCGCGCTCCGCTGCAGGCGGCCCAGTGTTTCGTCGGTTCGAATCCTGGGCGCGGACATGGCACTGCTCGTCAGACCACGCTGAGGCAGCGTCCCACATGCCACAACTAGAGGAACCCACAACGAAGAGTACACAACTATGTACCGGGGGGCTTTGGGGAGAAAAAGGAAAAAATAAAATCTTTAAAAAAAATAAAAAATAAAAAATAAAGCGGTGTCTCAGAATGGTTCAGACAGACAAAAGGCCTTATGGGCACTTCAAGGGCGTGACTCACGGATCCCCTATGTTAAACAGTAAATCTTCTAGGAATTTCGGGGCATTTTCCTTCAGCAGTTTCAACAGAAGCCTGAAGTAGAAAAGATCCTATCTTGACAAAATTTGAGTGTATCTTTGTCTAATGGAATGAGCCCAAAGAAGACCCACACAATTTTTGAAAGGGTCAAAGACTACAAAATAAAAAGAGGCATTTGGATTCCCAAACTTTAAAAAGCAGAAATTAGGCTGAGAAAACTGCTTTGCTATAAACAGGCTATCTTTTATGGAAAAGGAAGGTTCCCTCAGAGGGCAGAACTAATACGTAGAGGTGGAGCCTAGAGCCACAGCAGTCATTCCCAGGTTTTGGGAGGGCTGAATTCTAGTAAAGGAATAACCAACACATACTTGGCCGGATTCAGAATTGCTACTTACCAGTAACTTCTAGGTATTTCCGGTTTTCCCCTAGTTTAGACAGTCTATAGTGCTTGTTCTGTGTGTGTCTCAGCATTGTAAAGTATGTGAAAAGCAAATGTTTCTCTTCATGTCACAGTCCTTCATAGCCTTCATGTCAAGAGAAATTATATTTGAAGATTCTGATTTGAGAAAATGTACCCAGGGAGCCTTATCTACAGCTGGACCTGATTTAGATGAAAACATGCTAGAATTTGAGCTGATGCTTTAATGGAATCAGTCTTTGGGGCCTTGGGAAAGAATAAGTATATTTTGAATGGGACTCGGACATAAAATATTAAAGCTAGAAGATGGATTGTGATTCTCAACACCAAGAAGCTTCTCAATGATCTTCTCCTCCTACTAGTCACACAGAGTGGCCTGTGTGAACAACAGAATATGAAGAAGTGATGGTGTGTGACTTCTAAGGCTAGATCATAAAAAGTATTGTACTTTTTGCCCGTGTTTCTTGGATTGCTCACTCTGGGGTAAGCCAGCTGCCACGCTGTGAGGAGACTCAAGCAGCCCTTTGGAGAGCTTTGAATTCCTGACCCATAGAAACCGAGAGAAGTGAACATCGTAAGCCACTAAGGTTTGGGGTGATTTGTTACACAACATTAGATAAATAATACATAGCATTTAATCCTAGGCATATGCAGATTACTAATCAGCAACAAACTCAAGGGATCACCTGTGGGGATTTCTGGAACTCTCTGCCTAGCTTCCTCTCATCTGGTACTCTGCCCCATGAATTCCAGCCCACACAGCCTTCCTGAACTCCACCCTCTACCCTCTTAATTCAGCAAGACCACTCTGCTCCACCTGGATTCCTTCTCCCCCAGCTACGATCCAGAAAGTACCTCTAGACGGAAAACTGCGGTATTTTAGGACTCACCTCGTTTTTTTTCTTTTCTTTCGGATCACGTTTCTATGCTGCCTACTCTCCAGCGTCTAAAAACAGGTGTTTCATATATTTTGTCTAGTTTTGTGTTTGTTTATAGTGGGAGGACAATTATTCCAACATGGCTAGAAGTGGAAGTCACTAAAATTAAATTTTAAAATTTAGCATAGTTGATTTTCTTTTTAAATACTTCACTTGTCCCAAGTAATTAAGAAAATGTTATGAATCTTATAAGTTAAACTTATAAATTTGGTAATCTTTAGTTTTCCTATATGTTTCCATATTGTTTACTATTTCAATGAGATTTCAATGTAAAAGGACAAATTTAAGGGGGCCGGCCCCATGGCACAGTGGTTAGGTTCGCACATTCCGCTTCGGCGGCCCGGGGTTCACTGGTTCAGATCCCGGGTGTGGACATGGCACTGCTTGGCGGCCATGCTGCGGCAGGCATCGCACATATAAAGTAGAGGAAGATGGGCATGGATGTGAGCTCAAGACTAATCTTCCTCAAAAACCAAAAAAAAAAAGAGACAAATTTAAATCAATTAGATGTTTTTAATTGGAATTACGTAAGTCCTGTTCTCTTAAACATTCCGAATACATAAGACACACATTCGTTAATACAAATAGTAAAATCATGGATTTGATTCTGTTAAATATTTCTGTTCTAAATTCTAAATCTTCATGGATAAAAAATGTTTACGCACTAAGGCTAATCAGCAACACACTAATATAATCTCAAACAGTTTGGAGGTTGTTTTTTCTTACTTGGCCTCTCACGTGGCTGAGCTTGTGTAATGACCACTGATTTGCCCAGATTGTCAGGGACAGATCTGACACACTGAACCCTAATTATCAAACACATGAATTTTCACTTAACTAAGGATTGGATTTGTAGCCTTCTTCCTTTATATAGTACACTTTTTTGGTCTACTTTTCAAAGTTTGCAACTTCTAGCCAGGCTGCTGCAACGCTTGATTGAATTTTGCATTTTTTTTCACTCTTAAAATATTTTAATGACTTCTGTCTAGTTCCACAGATTTGGTGTACTTGAGGGACTACTATATTTTTCACATTATTTCTAATTGGTTCTCAAACTTTTTGGTGCCAGGGCCCCTGAAGAGTATAGCTCCTATAAATTATTGTGGACTCCAAATGGCTTTTGTGTATGTGGTTATTATCTATTGATATTTGACATTAGCAATTAAAACAAAATTTTAAGACTGAATTCATTTAACATAAGTCTATTACTATTAACATGAGGACATTTTTTATTGAAAAATAACCATATTTTTCAACTAAAAATTAGAAGGATGGCATTGTTATCCAGTTCTACAAATCTTTCTGATACCTGACTCAATAGAAGTCAGCTGGATTCTCATGTCTGTTCCTGTGTTCAATCTGTTGTAGTGTCTTGTTTTGATTGAAGCAAATGAACAAGCTTCAGCCTCACACAGGTATGCAGTAGAAGAGGGAGAACATGATGGGCCCCCTGAAGTGATAGGATCCCACACGTCTTACAGATAGGAACCTGTTTGATATTTTGGTATTTGTACTGCTTTGACTGTTTGCCGTACTTCTGTTCCTTCTTCCAGCCCCCACAGCAGCAGCAGCACTGCTTCCTCAGATTCTTTTCAGGCTCCCAGGAGCGAATGCTTCCAAAGCCGGGATTCTGTCTCTCCTCAGCCTGCCACATCCTCCAAAATCATTTTCAACACTAGAATTCATCATGACCACAGCTGAAATATTTTGAGGTTATAACTTCTTTACATTTTAAAGGGAGCTTTTAATTTCTTTTTATTCAAAACAACTGATATAAACAGCTGCCTTGGAATCAGAGGTTGATATGATAATCCATTCGGTTACGGTCCCCTGAAACCGTAAGGAACAGGTTGTGATTTAGCACCCAGAATTAACTTGTATGATTCTCCCCTTTTCTGTACTTCTTTTATCAGTTCTTTAAGAATAGCAGAGTCATAATTTAATTCATCACTGCTGTATTAGAAAATTTGGAGAATTCTAGGAAGCCTTTATAGTACAAAAAATAATGACCCTAGTGGTAAAAAATTTTCAGTAAATAATAGTGCTTGAATATTCTTCAGAAATTATAGTTGTTTATACTTTAACAATTCTTAAATGTGTAAGTAAAAATATATTTTTCTTGTAAAAATTAGAACATTGAGAATGTACAACAATGCATTTCAGAGTTTTTAAAGTTTCACATAAATGATATATACTGAATATTTTTGAAACTTGCTATTTTCATGTTTTTAGAGATTATTTATTTATATAGAGATATAAAGAACATATAGATCAACCCTATTCTTTTAAGCAATTATATGATATTCTAAAGTATGGATATTACAAGCTCTTATTTATATATTTCATATATTCATAGATAATTACATTTCACATCCTTCTACTTACTGGGTCGTGTTTCTGATTAATGTTCTTTTTTCTTGGAGCACTCTTCAGAGAGGCCCTTGTAGCTGTTGATGACAATTACAGCAGTTGAACAAAATATAAATTATTCTCCAGAAATAATTGAATTTCCTTTTCACGATCTAAGGGGAGAGGGCAGTGCTTCAAAATATCTTATATGTAAATATGGTGAACTGAGGATTGCAGTATTCTTTTTTTTTTTCTTGAGGAAGATTAGCCCTGAGCTAACATCTGTTGCCAAGTCCTCCTCTTTTTGCTGAGGAAGACTGGCCTTGAGCTAACATCCATGCCCATCTTCCTCTACTTTATATGTGGGACGCCTACCACAGCATGGCTTGCCAAGCGGTGCCATGTCTGCACACGGGATCCTAACCGGCGAACCCCAGGCCGCTGAAGTGGAACATGTGCACTTAACTGCTGTGCCACGGGGCCAGGCACTGCGGTGTTTTGATATTGTCAATTCTGGCTGGTTATATAGGCCAACACATGGTTTCCTTTATTTTTTTTTTTGTGGTAGTTGTTACTAGGCTTATTTCTCCTCTCCCTCCACAATCTCAACCTATCATATCATCTAGTAGACGTTTTAAGCGCCTACCATGAAACAAGCACTGTTTTATTTACTGGCTTACTGACCTGGAACTCCCAGTCAATGGAGTGGACAAACATGAAGAGAGAAACTTATAATACATGGTGTTAAGTGTCATGACATTGGTGATGACAACTTGTGGAGACACACAGGATCAAGTAATCAGCTTGTGGATTTCATTTATTTTTCATTCACTCAACACATATTTGAATACTTATTATATGTTAGGCTAAGGATATAACGGTCAGTAAGAGAGACATGATCCCTGCTTTGGGAGCATTCAGTCCTGGGAACCTGGAAAGAATTTGAGGGAGAACTACTGCAGCTGCTGGATCATGAAGAATGAGGAGAAGTAAGGCAGTAATAAATAAAGGGAACACATGGTTTAGAGGAACTCACATGTGCAGAAGTATAAAGCTGTGGAAGGCTCTAGTCCATCCAAGGATTATGAGAAGGTCTCTTTAGATTATAGGATATATGAATGGATGTGGCACACGAGGAAAATGGAAAGGAAGATTGGGGCCAGATATGAATGCCAAATTAAGGAATTGGATTTTTTTTCCTATAAGACTTTAATGAGCCAACTAGTATTTTTAAAATGACAACTGATATCTGACACTGATTTTGTGTTTTGATTCAAAAATACTAATTTAAATTAATGATTTGATTCATTATATTAGTCTGCTAAGAATGTAATTGATGTATGGTACCTACATTTTTTGTAATCTAGGATTATTTTTGTTTCAGCCTTTACCCTACGAAAAGAAAACCTGGAAATGTTTGAAGCAGTTGGTTTTTTAGCTATCAAACTGGGTGTGATTCCTTCGGATTTTAGTTACGCAGGACTTAAAGACAAGAAAGCGATCACCTATCAAGCAATGGTGGTTAGAAAAGTGACTCCAGAGAGGTAATAAGACATTACTTTGCAAGACAGAACTTTACTTTCTTGTTGCATCAAATAAATAAATGTGAGATTAAAAACTCAGAATAATCCTGGGAACATATTAACTTACTGTCAATATTATTTAATTGATTATGGGCTTACTGAACAGCATATTTTGCATTAATAATATAATTATCATCTAAGTAGAGTTATGTCTTAAATTTACGTTGAAAATATAGGGAGTTTTAGGATAGAAACTTTGAGAAGCGGCAGATTTTAAATGCTCTAAATTGTTTCTAAACATCCTATTCTATATTCAAATATGTGTTCATATTCAGGACTATGTCTTACAAATCTTTTATTTCTAATTACTAGAATACTTTTATACTTTTATTGGCATGGTTCCTTACATTTAAGAATAAATCTTTGTTAAATAGAATGTAAAGCACTCAAATTTAGCCTGCCTTCAGCTTAATTGAATTTTAAAAATATTTTTTGTAATTGTAAAAGAAATACATATTCATTGTAGATTTAGAAAATAGAAAAAAGTATAAAAAAGAAATTAAAATTTATTAATTTCATTACTCAGAAACAATCACAATAATATTTTGATCTATTTCTCTCCAGAATTTTTTCAGACTATACTATATACACGTCACAGAAAGACATTTTTTATATACGTGAAAATCATAGTGTATATATGGTTTATATTTTACTTATGAAAATAAAATAATTTATATTGTTTTATGAAAATTTGTGTAATGAAATATTTCAAAATCATCTCCATTATGTAGACTAATTTGCTTAACATTCCCTTGGTTTTGGATATAGAAATTCATTCCAATGTTTCACTGTAATTATGTAATACTGTGGTTAATATTATTGTACTTAAATCTGTGCCTTGTGGATGCTTTCTTTAAGATAAACTTCAAAAAGTTGAATCATTAGGCCAAAATTCAACCTAATTTGATGTAATATTGATGTATTAACCCTTAGTCATCAGATGTTTAAGTATATACTATTTGCTGGTAAACACTTCTAGGCTCTTAAATGAGGGATGAAAAAACAATATATGTGATTTTGTCTTAGTGCTCAAGAAGTGCAGTATAGGTAAGAGAGAAGGACTTTAGATGTTAAAAGATATTCAGATGTTAAACACTAATTTTTAACTACCAAAGACAAAAAATATTATTAATTCCTAGGAGGAGAGACTACTTTGATTTGGCTTATGGGTATGGGATTTTAATTACCTTTCAAATAATAGTAATATTTTAGCCAATGCAGAAAATCTGAAGATATTTTTAGAGGAACAGTAAGCTAAACAGTCTGCCTAATAAAACAGTTCCTATAAGGAACTACAGAAAATAGGAATGTAAAGAAAAATTTGCATCAGTTCTTAGAGGATCTTAAAAGTAAGGCTAAGATAATTGGAATCTATTGTTTAGATGTTGGGGAAGAATTGAAAATTTGAGTAAAGAAGTGTTCAGAGCAGGATTTTAGGAGAATCCTCTGGTGCTAGTGGTCTTTCTTGGTAATGTTGGGCAAAGAGGGAAGGAGCAAAGTCTAAGGACAGGAGGAACAGAAGGACAGTTAAGAGGTTCTATCACTCGAACTGAGGAGAGGTCAGGAGGCCTACGTAGATAGAGTGACAGTATTAGGAATATATGTTCAAGGTCTTAAAGTTACTCTTAATATAATCCTATTATAATGAGTTTTTAGTGCACATTTGTTGAAATAACATTAACTTTGGAATATTCCAAAAAAATTTTGTTTTAGTATTCTGATATAAGTGGTTGCCTGACAACTGGCATTTAAACCTTATACTAACTCTTCAAATGTAAGATTTAACTCAGTCTGTATGATTTATCATTTATAGGTTGAAAAATATTGAAAAAGAAATTGAAAAGAAAAGAATGAAGGTGTTTAATATTCACTCTGTGGAAGATTCCCTTAGACTTGGTCAGCTTAAAGGAAATCACTTTGATATTGTCATCAGAAATTTAAAAAACCAAATAAATGATTCTGCAAACCTGAAAGAGAGAATTTTGGAAGCAATAGAAAATGTTAAGGTAAGAAAACTCAACTTTTAAAATAAAGTATTACAGGAAAATCATTATAGTCCATCTTTTACATTGAGGCAAGAAGGGAAACTTCTTTTGTACCTTTTCTTGTTATGTGCGTATATAATTATTTTTAAAAATAAGACGTAGGACCATTTGGCTCATTTTTTATTTTCTTAGTGCATTTTTGTATTAGAAGAACAAAATTTTACGGTGATTAAAAAAGTAGAAAAGAGTTCCCCAGAGAAGGGGAAAAATAAGAAGAAAAATTTTTAGCATCCTTCATATATAAAGTAGTATTTTAGGCAAAAGGTTTTAATTTTTTTTGGAAATTTTCTTCAGTATGTAATTCTTTTCAGAAATCTTTGGTAAATAGTTACATTACTTTTCAGAATTATACATGATCTTTTTTCTTTTCAATTTGATTTTGAATTTTTTTCAATATATACAAATGACAAATCATATGCATTTTATTATGTCTTGCAGTGGAAAATTACTTAATGTAAGTTTTAAAATATTTACCAGGCATCTAAATATGCACGTACAACTCTAGCCTTCAGTCTGATCATCTAGACTATAGGTCAGCAAACTTTTTTCTGTAAAGGGCCAGATAATAAATATTTTGGGCTTTGTAGCCATATCGTTTCTGTTGCAACCACTCTACTGCTGTTGGGAGGGAGCAGCCATAGCCAATACAGGAAAGAGCATGGCCATGTTCCAGTAAAACTTTACCAAAGCAGGTGTCTCGCCACATTTGACTTGTGGGCCGTTAGTAGTTTGCCAGCCCTGATCTAGATGAGTAATTCTCAACCTGGGTGCTTTTAGCAAGTCTTGGCAGTCAATCTCTACTCCCAAACCAATTGAATGAGAACATCTGGGGATGCAGCTTAGGCATTAGTACTTTTAAAAACTCCCTAAGTGATTCTGCTTTACAGCCAATGTTGAGAAACGCTGACTTAAGTTTGTGGCCACAAAGAAGTTTTTACACAATTTTATGCCTCTTCAGAAGGAAAGCAAACAAACAGAAACTGGTTTTTAATCAATATCTTCCAACTAAAGATTTTTTTAGATCTGGCACATTTACCTGTGTATAGGCATTCTCTGATTGTATGTTCTTTCTATGGTTGTTTTTTCCTTTTTGTTCTAGACTCATCTAAAATTCTTTTTTTTTCCCTGGAAAACTGTTATTAAAAAGATATCCCTGAAAAAAGGGAGAGGGTTTTTCTAAACTCTGATAGCATTTATTGCCTTTTATTTGGTACTTATGGATATGCAACTGCCCATTATAAAATCCCCAGTAGGAATAATCTTAGTTTTAGCCAACTTTCCTTTAGTTCTCATGATAAGCGAAGGGAGTTGAGAAGCCCTTTTCGAAAGTAAGTCTTTGAAGTTTTGTTTTAGAGGGTTATAGTTCTGCTTGCTATAAACCTTTTGTAATATTCAACCCCAAGTAATTTGAAAGGGTACTTAAAACTCTTCTGGTTAGTGTAGTATATTGTCTGATGTTATTTTTCCAAACTGTAAATAATTAAAAATATTTGACTATGAGATTTAATATAGGGAGTACTTATTCTATCTGCAATTGAGTTTTGTGAATGACTTGAGGTAAGGATGCAGTTGCTTTTGTACCATGTTGATAACATATTGACTTAGCATCTTTTATTGAATAGTTTTGGAGTCGGTGCTCAATAGTAATTGTTGAATGAATAAATGTATACGCCTCTCCTAAAGTGACGTGGAAGAGTATTTTATCTTTCAAGAAACCATCTGGGCCTGGTGGTGTGTTTGTGAGAACATGTTTAAATGCTGACCAATGTCTTTCATGGTTGCAGTGGAAAATTCGATTTTCTGTTCCTGCTGGAGTGACGCCATGCCATTGTCTTGGCCCAGGCTTTCAGAAACTGAGATAACTAGAAAACGAACTGTTACATATAAAGGAGCCAGGACTTGCTGGGTTTGAAAATAATTCTGTTTCTTATTCCCAGCAACTCCATACAGCAGAAGAGTCTCAAAATCAGAAAAAGCTTCAGGGGAAAGATCAGATCCAGTACTTGGTAACCAATCCATCTCAGTTTTCCCAGAACTCTCCTGGTTTTAGCACGGAAAACCCACATCCCAGAAAACCCCTCAGTAATGTGAATGAAAAGTTGATATATTTTTTTAAGCCTTTTCACTCATCTTATTTTCAAACTTTTAATCACTTATTCTTCTCCTTTCTCTTCTCTAACTGTGTAGCATTTCTCAGACCATTTAGTCCCAATGTGTACATTACTGATTATAGAATTCTTTTATTAAAATAAATATGAAGAGAAAGACTTGATTTCATCTTCTCACACAATGATTGTATTTATTTGTCTTAATTCGGGGCTATAACAGAGAACCATAAACTGGGTGACTTTTAAACAACAGAAAATTTTTTCTTCTAGTTCTGGAGACTGAAAGCCTGAGATCAGGGTGCCAACATGGTCTTCGTATTGTATTCTCATGTGGCAGAAAGACAGTAAGCCAACTCCATGGCCTTTTCTTATAAGGGTTCTACCCTCATGACCTAATTACCTCCCCACATCGCTGTCCCCATTATCATCACATTGGAGGCTATGATTTCAATATATGAATTTTGGGGGTACACAGGTATAACAATATACTTTTAATTAATTGATTTTTTGTCTTTATAGAGTAAAGGGTTTGTGAATTACTATGGACCACAGAGATTTGGGATGGGAAGGAAAGTTCACACAGACCAAATCGGACTGGCTTTGCTGAAGAGTGAAATGGTATGGATTTTTAAAAAATATGATCTTCTCTGTTCATCAGTTATACTACATAAGCCAGCTCCTTGCTTTCTTAGCTCAGCATATAAACGCATATATATACATTCATACATATACCATGTACTACATCATTGAACATTTACTGAGCAGCCTCTGTATTCTTGGTCTCACATTATAAGAAAGCAAACTACATGTGATCTCCATGTGTTTAATACTTGTTTGAGGCTTGACGGGGAATTGACCAACACTCACCAAATTCCTAGTGAACTGAATAGAAGATTTGAGAATCCTGGTAACAGATTGCATTCCAGAAGTCCTGTATGAGATCAGATAAAAGATAGGAATTCACCCAAAGCCAGAGACCAAAAATGGGAACAGCAAATTTGAATGAAGATCTAATTTTAGATGAAACTAAAAATGTATGTTACAAATAAGAAGCTGCATTTGCCCAATTATTAAAATTATATATATAATTACATATTATACATACAGACATATTTTTGCACTGGATGGAGTGTACATAATAGTGAAAAGTACAAAACTATAAAAATTATATATTTGAGCAAATGCTAGATTATTCATGTAATAGTATCATGCTCACTCGTTTCTGTGCTATGTTTTCTTGAGTAAAAGAGAAAGGAACAGCAAAAGCACTTGTGAGAAGCATTGTGCATGCCAGCATCATCTTACACATGGAAACAACATTGAGAGCTGATGATATAGACCGCATCTGCGAATTTGTGGTTCTGGGCTTAACATTTCAAGAGATATTTTAGCAAATGGAATATAACTGATATGATAAAGGGTCTAGAAACCGTGCTGATGAGAAATGATTAGCTAAACAATGTTTCTTCAGTCTAGAAAATGTCCTAGAAGAGGAAGTAAATGTATAAAATATTTAAAATTTTGTCACATGGAAGAGGAATGTAGTAGTTTGGGGTCTGCAGAATGCAGCATGTGTTCTACTTGAGTTCCACCATTTGTCAAATATGTCATATAACCTATGGGGCAGCTTACTTCACTTTTCCAAGCATTGGTTTCCTTATCTGTAAAATGGAGATGACATATATTTTACAAGATTTTTGTAAGAATTAAATGAAATAACTTTTGTGAAAGCACCTAGCATAGTGTCAGGCCCACAGAGATAAGTGATCAAAACTATGATTAGACTGTTAATTCTCTGGTTTTACAAGGGTAGAAATTCAAGGAGCCGAGTTTTAGCCTACTGTAAAAAAGACTTTTTTCTAACAATTGTCCAAAGGAATGGGCTTCTCGCCTCCACCTCTCAAAAACTGGAAATTTCTGTTTCTCATAGCATTTAAACAAAAATTGGATGGCTACCCTCTCACCTCTTTCAAAATTCACATTCCATGCTCCTAAATGTTTTTTTTTAACTTTTCTAGAATATCAATTATCAGTTATAGCTGTGGAACAAATTACCGTAAAACTCAGTGGCTCAAAACAGCAAGCATTTATTATCACACTGTTTCTGAGGGTCAGGAGTCTAGGAGCAGCTTAGCTGGCGTTTGTGCATCAGCGTCTCTCACGCGTTTGCAGTCACCCTATCAGCCAGGTCTTTGAAGACTTGACTCGGCTCGGAGAACCTGCTTCCAAGCTCACTCTCATGGTTGCTGGCAGGAGGCTTTAGTTTCGTTCCATGGGGCTACTCATGGCATGACTTCCCCTGGAGAGAGGAGTCCAAGAGCACCAAAGAGTGAGAGAGAGACCACAACAGAAATCACAGTGTCTTTTATAACTTCATCTCGGAAGTGACATACCTTCACTTCTGCTGTATTCTACTGGTCACACAGACCAACCCTGACTGTGGGGGAGAGGACTGCACCAGGCATTCGTATCAGGTGGTGGAGGTCACTGGGGGTCTTAGAGGCTGACCCCCGTAGCTAGAGAGACATAGTTTTTGTCCTTTGCTTAAAGCACTCGCTCCCCAGCATTTATGTTCCTTATTTCTCAATTTAAATTCTCATCCCACTCCCCAAGAAAAAGTGTATTCCCCTTATCTTGTGAACCTGCAGCTTCCTGGAATCCCCATCTTAAGTTTTATTGTATTTTATTCTTCTTGCTTGTTTAATCTTTTCCAGTAAACAGAGACCATGTCTCTCTTGCTCATCACTCTATCCCGAGTACACTGTGCAGTGCCTAGCACATGGCAGATGCTTAATAATTGTTTGATGAATTAGCTTTTTAAATATTTGTTTGAATGAATAAATACTGTAAAAGAAGTCTGAGTGGGAGGTTAGTTTGAGCGAACTATCTTAAGATCCTTTCCTACTCTAAGACACATATTTAGAAATAAATCACAGTGTTGGAGACAGTGATAAAATACAGGAACTAGTAGATACCATTTCTTTTTAAAGGAACATCTTTTAATCTTTTAGATTTTAAAAGAAAATATTAAAGTTAGCATTTTTTTAAAAAGATTTTGGCAATTATTTTTAAGACCAAAGAATTCTGAGACTTGAGGATGTGAATGAAATTAGTGGCTTGCCATTCCCCTATTCTTGTTTCTTCCCCTGTTTTTGTTCTGTACACTGGTTAAGTCTGAGATTTATGTCATTACTTCACACTTGTGTTTATACCTCCATGGTAGAGGCAAAAAATGACAGAAGAATGATGGAAGTGATGGGGGAGCACTTTTTCCAGTTCATAATATTTAAACCTGTGTATAAGGTTGCTTTGTACACAAGGTTTATTCCTAAATTTAACATTGACTGTTTAATTTTTTTTGTTTGTTTGAGGAAGATTAGCCCTGAGCTAACATCCACTGCCAATCTTCCTTTTTTTGCTGAGGAAGACTGACCATGAGCTAACATCCATGCCCATCTTCCTCTACTTTATATGTGGGACGCCTGCCACAGCATGGCCTTCTGAGCGGTGCCATGTCTGCACCTGGGATCCGAACCGGCAAACCCCAGGCCGCTGAATCGGAACATGAGCACTTAACCGCTGCACTACCAGACCGGCCCAACTGTTTAATTTTTGACAGTTTAAAAATAAAATTGCAGGGCTGGCCCCATGGCCGAGTGGTTAAGTTTGTGCCCTCCACTTCGGCGGCCCAGGGTTTCGCCAGTTCAGATCCTGGGTGTGGACATGGCACCGCTCATCAGGCCACCTTGAAGCAGCATCCCACATGCCACAACTAGAAGGACCCACAAGTAAGGTACACAACTATTCATTGCGGGGATTAGTGGAGAAAAAGCAGGGAAAAAAAAAAGATTGGCAACAGTTGTTAGCTCAGGTGCCAATCTTTAAAATAAATAAATAAATTAAATAAAATTGCATCTTCAGGTATCATTTGTTAAATCCCTATCCTTTTAAGATGGCTAAGAATTTGTATCTTTTTTTAAAAAGTAAGTAGTTTGTCATTTTCATTTAACATGTTTGTTTGCTTGATTTTTAAAGGTGAAGGCTGTAAAATTATTTCTTACACCAGAAGATTTGGATAATCCTGTAAATAGAGCAAAGAAATATTTTCTTCAGACTGGTATTTAAAAGTTTCTTTATCCCGTACACAGCCATACAGATGCACAATATAAATGTTATGTCAGCAGGAGGGCATTCATTGCAACATAAATGTGATAAAGAACAGATTGTAACATGTTGTGTATTTAATCATATCATTACATGCCCTAGGCACTCCCGTTTTGGGCCAGATCTCCAGGACTTTCATCTGTTCTAATCCTTCCTTGGGGGTAAGAGTGAGGGGAGAGATGGTTTCTTAGTTTTTCTTGGCCTAAACTCTGAGGTGATAGGAGTTCCCAGTTCTAAACTAGTACTGATGGAAGTATAATTCACTACAACTAGAGGAGGCTGAAAAATAAATAAAAGTATGTTTGCTATATCTGATACTTTGTGCCTTGTTTTTGGTTTAGTTGCTGTTCAGCCCTGACTGTTGATTTTGAAAACTTTAGGCCAATATGATAATATACATTTAGAATGCTTAATGGGAAGCACTAAGGAAAAGTGCTTATGAGTGTGGGTTCTAGAGTCAGTCTCCATGGGTTTCACTCTCAGCTTTAGTACTTTCCAACTGTATGGTCTTCTGTTAATAAGTTAGCCTCATTGTTTTAGTTTCTTCATCTGTAAATTGAAGCTAATAATGCTACCTGAAAGACTCTTACGAGGTTTAAATAAGATAACAGATACAATGCTTTTAAAATAGTATCTGGCACATACTAAATACTGAATAAATATTAGTTGTATTTAAATAATAATAACAGCAAGCATATCGTTTTAGATTCATTCAAATATATGACTACGTATATATGTGCATAGCCAGCGCTTGTGGTGTAGCAGTTAAGATTCGGGGCTCTCACCACCACAGCCTGGGTTCTTTCCCAGTCAGGGAACCACACCACCCATCTGTCGGTTGTCATACTATGGCAGCCACATGTTGCTGTGATGCTGAAAGCTTTGCCACCGGTATTTCAGATACCGGCAGAGCCACCCATGGGGAACAGGTTTCAGCAGAGCTTCCAGACTAAGATAGACTAGGAAGAAGGAGCTGGACACCCATTTCCAAAAAAATTGGCCATGAAAACCCTATGAATAGCGGTGGGGCATTGTCTGATATGGTGCCAGAGGGTGAGAGGATGGCGCAAAAAGACCAGGCAGGGTTCCCCTCCGCTGTACAGACAGAGTCACTAGAAGTCAGAACTGACTGATGACGCTAACAACAACTATTTCCATACTGAATTTCACTTCCGTTGAATTAAAGGACATCAGTTTTCAAATATCTTCATTCATTATTTTTAATTATGTACATTTTACATATATGTAATTATTCATAGGAAAGAAATATTTTTATGCTTTACCACAATCTGTAAACAGTGTGGGCATTTCAAATTGTTATGAGTAATCTAAGTAATACTAGGGAAAGTTTAAAGTGACTTATTTGTTTGTATCTACTGTAGAGTCCTGAGAAGATAATTTCTTATCGCAATGATTCTTAAACTTTAGTGTCCATAAGAAACCTGATGCATTTATCAAAAGGCCGATTGCAAGGCCCTAACTGAGTAGGCATCTTTGTGGTGGAGTCCAGTAATCTTAATTTTAAAAAGCATCTCACTGGCAAAACCTAATAGTATACTTGAAGGATCCAACCTTTCTTATTCAAAAAATTCTATGTGAATGTCCATAATAGCTCTTTAAACATCTATAGGCTCAGAGGGTTGTTTTTCTTTTCTGAAAAGTCCTCTGAATAACTGCGAATTAGTTTATCACCATTTTGAAGTAGGAATTACTAATGTTGTGCTTTTTGCTATTCTTTTCTAAAGCAGAGAAAGTGAATGGACCATGTGATTAATGATCTATATTAGAAAAAACAAGCAAACTCTACAAGTGTAGCTAGGTTTACAGTTGATGCTGAGCATCATCTTCATATTCAGGTTTACAAGATAGTACAGTTCATTGCTTCTTGTTTAGAGATTATAGTAAAGGTCTTTATAACTGGCTTTTTAAATAAGTGTCGTTGACTCACTGATTTTCTCTATATTTCAGAGGATGCTAAAGGCACACTTTCTTTGATGCCTGAATTAAAAGTTCGGGAGAGAGCATTGCTGGAGTCACTGCATCGCTTTGGCGTGACAGAGGAGGGTTGCATCCAGGCCTGGTTCTCTTTACCCCATTCTATGCGTATATTCTATGTCCATGCATATAGCAGCAAAATTTGGAATGAAGCCGTGTCTTACAGACTTGCAACCTATGGATCAAGAGTAGTGGAGGGTGATTTGGTCTGTTTGGATGAAGATGTTGATGACGAGCATTTCCCAAATAGTAAAGTAAGTATCTTTTCATCAGTTAGTTTTCCAAGAGTAGTGACCACACCAGGAACGCTAATTTTCAGAAGCTCTTATTTTGGAAATAATGTAAAACTAAACACATGCTTTTTATTTATTTATTTATTTTTACTTTTTTTTGCTCATCTCCTGCTTCTACTCTGCTGTCAGCTGAGGCTTAACACATGTTAGTAAATCGAAAAGTAACAATAGTGGTATGAAGTGAAAGGTACAAAGATGGTAAACCTTCCTTTTTTTTTTTCAGGGAAAAATATCATATAAATGTAATTTAAAATAGCTACAAAATATGTAAGAAAGAACAATGGCTGCAAAATATATTTGGCCTTTCTGAAAAGAATTAGTAATAGCTTCTTCTATCTTTTGTCTTTTTTTTTCTTTTTTTTAATTAATTAATTATTTTGGGGTGTACATCATAATAGATTTCAAATTCTGTGTAGATTACATCATGTTCACCACCTGAAAACTAATTATAGTCCATCCTTCACATGTGAGCCTAATCACCCCTTTTGCCCACCCCCCCTCCCCCCTTCCCCATGGTAACCACCAATCCAATCTCCAATGCTATGTGTTTGTTTGTCGTTGTTTTTATCTTCTACTTATGAGTGAGATCATACGGTATTTGACTTTCTCCCTCTGACTTATTTCACTCAGCGTAATACCCTCAAGGTCCATCCATGTTGTCACAAATAGCCGGATTTCATCATTTCTTATGGCGAGTAGTAGTCCATCGTGTGTAAATACCATACCTTCTTTATCCATTCGTCCCTTGATGGGCACATACACACTCTTTAAAAAATTATACAAGTAATGCACAAAACAGTGGATTTTATTCTATTAGTTAACACCAAGAAGAGAAAAGGAGGGACTTAAAATTTGAAAAGGAAAAAGAATAAAACTTTTATAATAATGGTATATGGGGCATGTAATGTGGTGTATGTTTCCTTTATATAAGTATGATTTCACAACTTGCTTTTTTCCTCTTAACAGTATCTTAGAGGCATTTATATGAATGAAATTAAAATTTATATTACAAAAGTTGATCCTTCAATTTCCTCCCTATCCACCTAGTATTTTTCTAGTGTTTTAATCTGTGTGGGTTTGAACCAAATAATGAAATTGAATTCCATAAATTATGCAAGGAAATTCATTTTACAGTATTGTAACGCAAAAAGAACAAACTATTATTCTCCAATGTTATCTTAAGTCAATCTCACAAATATGTTTTAAAAATTAGAGGAAGAGATTTGAGTAGTGCTTTCATATACAACATAATGAAGTCATTGAATTTTAGAGGAGAAAAGGATTTTAGAGACCCACTTTTCTAACTCCTATTTTATGGAAATGAAAATTGAGACCCACATTGGAGAGGAAACAGATTAAGTGACACAGGTAGCAGAATTAAAAAGACCCAGTTGTCTGACTCCTGACCCAAACTGCTTTCTACTAGAGAAATCATGGAGTATGGACAAGGTGTGAACATCTAGAGATGGAACATGGCCCAGTTTTTCAAAAGTGGAGAAAAATAGACTCTGAAATGTGCATAAAGGGAGCTTTAATTAATCACAGAGTTCTAGATGTATAAATTGAGGGTTTTTTGGTTTCAAGTAATGGAAACCTTTATCTCAGACTAACTTAAGGAAAAGCAGTCAGCAGTTTGTTGGCCTTCATAACTGAAAGTCTGTGATCCATTCGGGCCCAGCCGTTTCCAGGGGCTTATGCAGTGTCCGACATCATCCATCTCATTTTCTTCATCTTTCAGCTCTGCTTTCTTCTGTGTTAGATCTCTTCTCAGTCTGGCTTATTCATTTGCTGGCAAGATGGTTATTAGCAGCTCCAAGCGTATTTCTCACAACGTCTCCAGAAGAGAGGGCTTTTCTTTCCCAAAAGTTTCAACGAAAGCCATGGAATTGAGTGTCAGTGGCTAGGACTGTCTTGACTTGTGTCACATGTCCTCACACCAATTACTGTGGACTGGAGTATGTGATTGGCTAAGCCTGTGTTCCAAGGATTCCTTCCTGGAACTATCCCACCCAGACCACAGTTGAGAACTGGAAGCTCCCTGGAAAATGGGGGGCTACTCCCGGAAAAGAGGGAGTGCAGCCAGAACAACATATGTCTGCTTTACTATTTCATTAAATGGATGGCTTATGAATATTTAGACAAGAAAGGGATCACTAGGAGCGTAAATCACTAAGAATGGTCGTTTGACTGAGACAGACTTTGAAACTGTGTAAAGAGAAATCTAGCAGCATCGTAGGTTTTATTGTATCTCACGTGAGTGGAAGAAGAGATGTCAGTGATCCTCTTTAATAAATAATGAAAAATCACGTTTTTTTTTTAACACTTCTAGAAAATATATATCCATTTAAATATTGCCTGGGCAACACATTATTTAGTAAGTCAGCCATTTCTAATTCAAATTTTCAGGACTGAGAGGTTACTTTGACAAGATATAGCAATAATCTCTGAAATAATACGTTTTATCAGACTTCTTTGTTCAAAATAACATTTGTAAGGACAGCTTTGTGATCAGAATTGTATCTGTTTTTCTTTTTGGAGCTATAGGAGAAAAAAACATTTTCTCCTTCATATCTTGCAGTTTCCTTTTATAAGCAACAAAAAATGTCTTTATATATTTTAAGACCAATCAATATTTTATTAGTTAGCACTGAGAAAAGCAAAGGTAGGCCTTAGAGGCTCAAAACATAAAATATGAAAAGGAGAAAGGCAGAATGAGATTTCTAATAAATAGTAAATAGGGCATGTAATGTTGTGTTTCTACAGTTAAAAATTATAGGAAACTAATCTGATTCCCTTTTTGAGAGGATTACTAGGCTAGCAGGTGTATCTTTCTTTCAAGTCACTTGGTAGATTCTCGTATAATTTTTTTTGTGAGCAAGATAGAGAAAAGTGAGTTAGACAATTAAAAAGTTAGGTGAATTCATATTTGGGGAGCAGCCATACAGCAAAAGCATGTTTGTTGATTAATTCATAGATATCAGCCTGGAGGAAGTTCCCTAAAGACAAAACATAGTCTTCTGAACTTGACCATGTTTGTTCAGTATTTTCATAAATTACAGTGTTGTAGCTATGCTTATGAATTTATACAAGGCAGAAAACTGGAAGTGATGATGCAAAAGAGATCATAGTCCCGTGTATTTTGATCAGATTACGTATGGAGCTTTATGTCTATTTCTATGTGCAGCAGTGAAAAGGGGTGTTTACCTGTAAACAAACAAATAAACCCCAGATGAGAAACAAAAACAGAGTGGACATTATTGATAAGCATGAGGAGAACTGAGGGGAAAACAAGCAGATTTAGAGGCGGTCTAGCCACCATATTATATGATGAATACTTTGAGAGGATGGTAATGCTATTTATCCTTGTGGAATGATGACGGCTGCTTTTATACTTCAGCTTTCCTGTGCAAGAGAAGTAAGAATTATTTATTCTGTGGTGTCCCAGAGCAACATTTCTCAAACTTAATTACCATGCACTTCTTTATCTTTCCTTCTACAAGTCACACCTATTACTGTTCCATGAAGAACGTTTTGAGAAACACCACTTCTCATAGAATATTTTGAAACTTTTGAGGATGGGGGGTGGTTTCGCAGAAGCAGGTTTTTGAGTCAGCATAATAAAGAACAACTTTGTAATTTAGAAGATTGTTGGTGATTGAGGTGGAAGTATTGCCTTAGTGCATTAAGCTGCCCACCGTTCTCTGCGTGTGTCAACTTCAGTGATCAGTGGTTAAAGCCGGAAGAATCATTGTAACTTTTACCTTAGTCTACTTTTCTAGAAACAAGTGATGAAGAGATCTTGTTTGGATTTATGTATATTCAGCGTAGGAGTCAAATTATACATAACAGAGTTAGGGAAATTGAAGGAATTTGAAACATTTGGGAATCATGCATATTCTCATGTTTTTACAAAATAGGTTCATCTAGTAACTGAAGAAGAGGAATCAGCTAATTCATATGCAATACATCAGGTAAATTTGCTTAAAAATTAGGATCACTTAGATCTAAATGTAGACATTATGCCTCAAAGACAAAATGTTAACCGGTCCCCCCCTCTTTTTTTCCCCCCACTTTTTAATTCAGGTATAATTTATATACAATAAAATTCACTTTTCTTAGTTTATAGGTCTATGAATTTTGATAAATGTATATAGTCATATGACCACCACAAAAATCAAGATAAAGGACAGTTTCATCTTTCCCCTCAGTTTTCCTTCCCCCTTTGTAGTCAGCCCCCCAGCCCCAGGCCCTGGCAACGACTCGTTTATTTCCTGTCCCTGTGGTTTTGCCTTTGAAAGAATGTCATATAAATGGAATCATATAGTATATGGCCTTTTGTGTCTGGCTTCCAATTAGCATAACGAATTTGAAATTCATTCATGTTGTGTGTATTTGAGTTTTTACCTTGTTCCTTTTTCTGACCACCTTTTGGTACTGTTCAAGAAAAAAGTCTAGAACTCATCAGCGAAGGAGGAGAAGCCCACAAAATGTTTACGTATAAGCAGCTGAGAAAATAAACATTGTTTTTGTTGCCTCTTATTTGCTTTCATGTTTTTAAATAAGTAAGAAGAATGTAAAATTATCAACCAAAATATCAGTTATTGATGGAGCAGTAAGCGCTGTTCTTTGTATTATAGAAAGAATATGCTCTTAGGATTGTATGACTGCATAGAGATTAAGTCTTTCTTGGCTAACTAAGTGTACCAAAACTTCTGTTCCCTCTCCTCTGCATTAATAGAAGTTTGTCTAATAATATCTGACTTGAGTTGGTTACCTTGGTTATTATGACTCCTTCTTGATTTTAGTTAACTCTTTTCTTTGCCTGTTAGGATTAAAAATAATCAAAGTAGTGTAGTATTCAATAGCATGTTTTAGGCTGATTGTAATGTTTATGTCCCAAGACTGTTTTTACAGATCCAGGTCCCAGTCATAAAAGTAAATTTAAAGTACAACCTCTATAAATATATTTTTCTGAAGGCTGTCTCATGCGTCTCTTTTTCCCTTCTCTTGCACAGGTTGTTCTTCCCGTGCTTGGATACAATATTCAGTACCCAAAGAACAAAGTAGGGCAGTGGTACCAGGAAATACTTAGCAGAGATGGACTACAGACATACAGGTTTAAAGTACCTACTCTGAAACTGAATGTTCCAGGGTGTTATAGACAGATTTTGAAACATCCCCATAATCTCTCATACCAACTAATGGAAGAACAGAATACTGATGTCAAAACAGAAGGTTCCCACATCCATGAAGCAGCTTTGTCTCTTTTGATCTCTTTTGATCTTGATGCTTCATGTTATGCTACGATTTGTCTAAGGGAGATAATGAAGCATGATTTTTAAAACCAATACCCTTGATAGAATCGTATATATGTCATTCTTGAAAGGAAAGGCAACTAAAATTTTTTGAACAACTACCATGTGCTAGGAGCTCTATAAATGTTACTCCTTTAATTACGCAACATCTTGACGAAGTAGGAATTTGATGCTAACGTTCCAGAGAACATATAGCCAGTAAGTGGCAGGGTCTGAATTTAAGACTCTGAAGCCTGTGTTCTTTGTATTATCTAATGTTTCAGTGACTTTTATTCTGTGCTATAAAAGTTACAGTCATTTTAGACTATTAGCCTATAATACTGCAAGATAACATATAAGAAAAAAATTCTTTGGAGTAATGTTTATATCCTCTAACTCCTCACTTGGAATGTAGATGAAACTTGGTAGTAATGAATGCATATGGTTGGGAGAAAGATAGATGAAGTATTTTGTTAATTATTGTTGTCATTCTTTCCTATTTTTGAAATTATTAATCACAACAATACATCAGGGAAATACAGTTTCTCTGTTTATGATAGCTACCCCAGGGTAGTTTACCCCTTTATGAGATAAATAATTGTCCATGAAGATTGAAATAAACTTTTTCATACAATTTCTTTATCTCGACATACATTCACTCTTGACTTTTTGTTGTTTTTTTTTTTTTCTGTTATCTAAAACACAGATTTTAGAGTGACAGATCTGAGCTCAGACTCCAGCTCTGACGGGTACTAGTGACTTTGGGTATGTTATTGACTCTTTCTGAGGCTCACTTATAGAATGAAGATAGCACCAACCTCATAAGCAACAAATAATAGGATTATTGCCACCTTTTATGTTGCTAGAGGAAGAAAACATTTTGCCATTTGAAAATTTAAGTATTTGTTGGTTTAACTATCCCACATCATAAATCATCCTTAACCATTTTATATCAGTTAAATTTTGGGGGGAAATGGTATATGGTGATTGGGAAGACCTGAGCATTCTTTCATTACTGGTAGCATTATATAATGATGACATTTAAAAAGCACTGTAGAGCATTCTATATCAGTAATGTGGCACTTTTATATACTTAAGTCAGTCAAGTCATTTTGAATATGTTAGCGTAATAAAATAAAATTCAAAAAAGGAAAAAAGCTTTATACAATGCAAAATTTGCTTCCTGAAAGAAATTAGAAATAGTTTGAAAGTCCACCATTAAAGTAAGTGAAATGAGATGTGTCAACTTGAGGGCAAACATGTAGTTGTTAAAAATGGTGATGAAGGTTTCGGGTATGAGAAATCCTAGGTGAGAAAATGTTGCCCCTCTAGAGTAGGACATACATATTACAGATGCAGTGTATATATGCAGGCAGCTTTTACAGATGGGAGACACTTAACATAGTGATTAAAAGCACAGATATTTGGGACAAACTTCCGCTTGACTGCCACAGCAGTGTGGCTTTGGAGAAGTTATTTAAGCTTTGTGTGCTTCAGTTTCAACATGTATAAAATGGGGATGATAATATACCTGGCTTGTAGGATTATTGTGAGGACTTGCTGAGTTAATATATGCAAAGCGGCTTAGAAAAGTGCCTGGCACTTAGTTATTGTTAAATAAATATCCACAGATGCCAGTTTGAGAGGGAGGAGAAAAAGAGAAAATGCCATTCTACTAAGATGATAGGCTTTTTGGATTTTTTTAATATTAAAAAGTTCCTTTTTTGTCATTATATATTTTAATAGTAAGTACATCTCAGGACACAAAAATTGGAGATTGTAATACCATTGGTTTTTCAAATTATCTTTATTGTTTTAATGTTTATTGAAAATGAAATGATCCTGTATTTAGTAAACAATTTTTAGAAAAAATGTTTTAACTTTATTTCATATGAGTTATATCCTGTAAGTGTAATCAGAAAATTAATGATGTAAATTATTAAATCCTAGTTTTTAAAAAAATGTTGAGCATTTAGAAAATATGAAAGCATTAAAATGGGCTGTCATTGATATTAATTTTTTTGGCCTGCAGATGGTGCTAAAAGTTCAGATAGTTTATTTATTTATTTATTTAATTTAATACTTTGGCCATTTGTAAAGAAAGGGTCCCTAAACTTATTTCAAGTCACCATAAAATGGATTCAGATACTGTTCATGTGGAAAATTGTTTTATACACCAATAATATTTACCATGTTAATTTTTTTTTTTTTTTCAGTTTAAGGACTTTAATATGCTTGGGACCAAATGATGACCAGTCACCTAGGTTCTTGTAGTTTTTCTGCAGACATTTCAGGCCTTAAGAAGGATAATCTTTGGATTACTTTTAATTTTCAAGGTTGCATTTGAAACTAAGGAGTAGTGCCTCAGGATCACCAAGGTAAAACAAATTGAGGTCTTCTTATTAAGATAAAAGCACTTAGATTTTTGTGAATTGTAATAAACTGAAAGTCATATGCACCTTTTGATCTAGGTAACATTTTATTGTCTGATGTGCTGGGCACTTCCACTTCTCTGATTTTAATCCATATGCCCACCCTGTACGTAGGTAGTATTTGCAGATAAGAAAATATCTGAATGGTTTATTGACCTATTCAGGGTCAAAGAAGATAGTACGTGGTTGAACTTGATTATGTTTCCTGGATCAGTAGTGTTTTTATCTACCAATATTTATCTTCTGAAAGCAAATTTTTTAGTTAATAACTTCCATTTTTGCCAACTTGACGTTACTTGCCACTGATTAATAGGTACATTGGAGCATATCTTGAGAGAAATAAGATTCCTTTTGAGATTCTGAGACCAAAACAAAAGTAAAGGGGATCCTTCAGGAAATTCCCAACTTATTTTGGGGTATTTCCTAGAATATTTTGGGATTTGTATCACAATGATATGCAAAATCATTATAGGTCATAGGAAGTTATTTTAGAGGGGAGCTGGTACAATATTAAATATCATTGAAAAGTACAGTGAGAAAGTTGCTCCTTTTTCAGTTCTCTTTCAATCCTTTAATCAATCATTCTGTTTAAGACAGAGAAAGCTGATTGATACTAGTTTACATCCAACGCTTGCTGATTTACCTTTTTAACAGACAAAGCAGTCCTCAGGCTCAGGAATACCAGCAGGCAACAATATCTAACTAGAATTTAATAAGATTGCTTTGCTTTATTGAATTTATTTTTCCAGCTACCTTTTATTTATGGCACATAATCCTGGTTTTCCACTTACATGATGATATAATTTTTTTAACAAATAAATTTAATTTTAAAAAGAGGGAATGAATTTAAAGATATTAAGGAAATACTAATATAGATAATGCAGTAATTATGACAGCAATACATCAATGGTTGAAGTTTGGGAAATACTGGTATAGCTGAGAGTCCCTGAATTCAGAGAAGGGCTCCACCACTGTGTTCGTGTGTGACTTTATTCACCCACTGAATTTTTCTCTTGTGGTGTTCTCAGGTTTGAAGTAATGTTAGTAATCATTTTTCAGTCCAGGACAGTATTGAGTCAAACAAAATAATGAGAAACATACAAATTCAAGATAGTATGAATACCGGTACTATCGATCACATGCCATATCTTGAAATTTCACTGATAGGGACTTTATTTTAGAAAATGTTATGAAACATTAAAAGCAGTGTCTAGCACCTAGTAAATTCTCAATAAATGTCAGCTAGTGTTATTAGAGTTAATATTACATTACTGTGGTCTCTGATGAAAGTTTTACAGTTGAATAATTAATGACTTTCTCTTGAGATCTGACTCTGTCTTAGCATAAAGTAATTATAATTCAGCACACTTTCAGATTTGTTATTTTTTTTGTAAGTGGAAACAACTATTTCTAAATCTGAGAATTCAACAGTTCATTCAAATAAAGATCTTTAAAAACTATCTAGGTCAGTGTTCCTCAATATTTTCCACCTGGGAGCTACCATTAAGAGACCAAAAAGAGGGGCCTGCCCATGACCAAGCGGTTAAGTTCACACGCTCTGCTTCGGTGGCCCAGGGTTTTGCGGGTTTGCATCTTGGGTGCAGACATGGCACCGCTCATCAGGCCATGCTGAGGTGATGTCCCACACAGCACAACCATAAGGACCTACAACTAGAATATACAACCATGTACTGGGGGGCTTTGGGGAAAAGAAGAAGAGTTAAAATTTTTTTTTAATTAAAAAAAAAAGAGACCAAAAAGAAAATGAAGCCCTGTATAACAATTCAGAGCTTTCTTGCAATAATGTAAGTATAGGAAAAGAGGTTGGGGAAAGATATGAAGAGTAAGGAAATTAGGACTTTTTTTTTTCTATTTACTTCTGAAATGTTTGGATTTTTAAAGATTTTATTTTTTTTCCTTTTTCTTTCCAAAGCCCCCCGGTACATAGTTGTATATTCTTCGTTGTGGGTCCTTCTAGTTGTGGCATGTGGGACGCTGTCTCAGTGTGGTTTGATGAGCAGTGCCATGTCCGGGCCCAGGATTCGAACCAACGAAACACTGGGCCGCCTGCAGCAGAGCACGCAAACTTAACCACTGGGCCATGGGGCCAGCCCCATGAAATGTTCGGATTTTTAAAGAAGAATATATTTGTGTGTTAATTTTTGCAATTAGAAACCTTGAAGGATACTTGAGGTTCAGAGAGGGTAAAAGGGAATTAATGGATTCTGATTGCATTTTTTCAGAATGGTTCTGGTGGCTCATGCCAACATATTTCCAGAGAGAGAAATTTATGCTCTGTACATTTTAATAACACTAATAAGCTTAAAGTTTAGTGCCTGTGCTGTGGGTTTTGCTTTCAGATTCAGAAAGATTCTGTCTTAGAGATAGCTTGATGTCTTATGGTACTGCCTTAATCTATTTTTCCTAAGCCCTTCTGCTTTACATATTTTTGATAGGCCACAAAGCAATGCCAGATATCTAACATAATAATCAAATATTTGACTGCCCCTAAGTTAAAGGCATTCTGTAAGATGCTATGGGGAAAGACAAAGATATATCAGATAACATCCCTACCTTTGAGAGATTAACAGTGTTATATCCTTTAAGACGTCATGTGATTTGAAATGCCATCTGCCAAAAAAATATGCAGACTAAATGACAAAGAGAAAAACAAGCAGTTTCTTTCCATTTCACGTATGGCTCACTGTATGACCAATAATATGATGCTTGACCTCTCAGCACCTCATTCTGAATCCTTAAATAATACTTCCATTAGCATTTGTAAGCATTTTGAGATCCCTTCTGAAAATATGCTTTGAACTTATTCAGTTTAAATGCTGCTTTCTAGAAAGCTACTATTTTAAAGAATGGGAAATGGTGTTTATAGAGTTAATCTTGTATAATTTCAGTGTGGGTTGTCAGGAATACCTTGCAATAAAGAAGATGACTCTAATCTTAAGCAGTTCATTTTCTCAGCAACTGGGAGGCAGGAGCTAATTCACTCCGCCTGTGTACATAGACCATATCTTATTAAAGAAACATTTTACTCATGGAAAGAAGTCAGGACACCCGTGAAATTACTTAAATTTAGACATATTGGAAAACATTAAAAATATAAGCTATGTTAAATTCTTTTTCATTATCAGTTTCCTTAATAAATACCCAACTCAGTCACCAATATACAAATAAAATCCCTGTTACAAGGAGGAATTGAATCAAGAGCTATTTGGTTGTTTTTAAGGGGAAGAGATGAGAGAGCTGCTCACTCTTTAACCAAGAGTGTTTGAGCAGCAGGATGGATGGACTGGAAAGGGCTAGGGACTCACTTCTTTATGCTTTTATTCCAAGTCACTCTTTTCTGATAAGCCTTACTGGCATTTTCTTAGACTGGTTAAGTCAGGATTTTGAGTTTTTCACTACAGTAGGGTTTTCATCTTAGCTGACTATTGTTTTCACCCCTGCCCCTGGTCACAAAGGACTGGTGTTCTTTTCTAAAAAGGGAAGATGATTCTCTTTATAAATAACTTTTATATTTACCTTAGGTTATAATAAAATGGATTTTTTTTGCACATGATTTTCAAAAGGATGCTAATTTAGACTTCATTTTTCCCTGAAATATCTTAAGAGAAATCTAATACATTTTTAGCCAGCCCTGGTGGTCTAGTGGTTAAGACTCAGTGCTCTCACCACCGCCACCTGGGTTGGTTTCCAGTCAGGGAAGCTCACCAACTGTCTGTCAGTTGTCATACTGTGGCGGCTGCGTGTTCTTCTGATGCTGAAAGCTATGCCACCAGTATTTCAAATACCAGCAGGGTCACCCATGGTGGACGGATTTCAGCGGAGCTTCCAGACTAGACAGACTAGGAAGAAGGACCTGGCTACCCACTTCCGAAAAAATTGGTCATGAAAACCCTATGAATAGCAGCAGAGCATTGTCTGATACAGCGTCGGAAGGTGAGAGGATGGTGCAGAAAGACCAGGCAGAGTTCTGCTCTGCTGTTCACTGGATCGCTGGGAGCTAGAATCGACTCCATGGCACTAACAACAAATAAGTTTTTATCTATATAAGTAATAACAATGCATTTTTCACATTTAGGAACCAATAGAAAATCTGAGAAGGAGTTATTCTGAATTCAAAGAACATTCTCCCAAGGCATTGGGAGAGAAAACCTATTTCATAGTGAAGCATTTAACGATTGTGTTTTTTATCTATGCATTGTCTCGTTTCGATTATTGTGATAATCTGACTGGCTGCCTCCATTCTTCACTCTAACTAGTCCTTCTTGTGTACTAATGTCCGTTAACTCCCCTAAAAGTAGAAATCTGATCCTGTCATTGTATTTAGGCCATATAACATTTCAGTGGCTTCCCAGTATCCATGGAGTAAAAGTCCAAATCCCTAAACATAGCACATGTAGACTTGCACAAAATGGCTTCAAATTATCTTTCAAGTGACCTCTGCCACTTACTCTGTAAACATAAGTTTTGCTTCAGCTCTGTTTGCTCTTTCCCAAATACAGCAATTATCCCATGTTATGCAGCTCAACCTTCCATTCCCGTTGGCGAACATCTTCTCTGCTTACGTTAAACATCTTGTCTGTGAAATCTGTGCTTTCCTAGTACTTTGTATATGGCTCTAATATCTCATTGCTCACACTGCATTCTACTTATTTGATCGAACATCTGAGTCGTCTACTACTAACTATTCAGAGACATTGATCTTTATACTTCAGACACCCAGCAGAGCCTGGCGTGTAATAGGCTTAAAATGCTGAATGAATACCACAAACATATCTTAGTAAATTTATTTGGTAAATATATCTATATCAAGCAAATTCTAAAATAGTCCTTTATCCTCACAGAAAGTTTAGAGTATTAGAATTGAGACTCATTCTAATGCCTTTCCACTTTTACATGAATTGCCAAAATGATTTTAATGGTTTCATCTTTGTCATCACTACCTAGGAAGTGTCTACCTTTTATTTAAATATTAAATGCATCATAGAATTTCATTTACAATTCAGAATAAGCTCTCAGGTAGTACAACTATTCCTACTTTACAAATGAAGATTCTAGGGCCTGAAGAGGTTAAGTAGCTTATCTAGGTTGTAAAGAGAGTTTAACCTAGTTCTTTTTGATTTCAAAGCCCATGGTGGTGACTGCTTTGCTCTGCTGATTGCTAATGCAAAATGTCTCAGTTCTACACTTTGCTTAACCAGTGATTATTTAGTTTCTGCCTATTTCTGAGTTAACTGGTATATTTCTAATATTCTGTGACATTAAGACAAATTGGGGAAAACTCACTAAGTGACATAGTGATAATAGCTGTCAATCATTGAGCATTATATGCTAAGCATTTTGCACCTTACCACTAAGTACTTACCTGTAGGATATGTACTGTTATTATTTTCATTTTATAGATGAGAACACAGAGATAGAGTGCAATTTAAAAACTTGAGGAATACAGAATCCAGAGACCCTTAAGCCTTGAACTTGGTTTGAAATTAAATGGTAGGACTCTAGTCATGTTATAGAAGCCAACACAAATATTCTCTTGAGGAAGTTGCCTTCATCCCAGGTTTCAAATAAGTGTTCAAAGACAATAAAACAGCACAGAAGTAAGCAAGGCATCATGAATGAGAGCCAGCAGAAACAAAAGACAATATAAATAGACCTGCGGGTCTTCAGAATTCTAGACATGGACCTCATATTTACTGTTTTTAAAGAAATAAGAGACAAGCTTGTAAATATGCAGGGAACAAGAGACCAAAATAATCTAGCATATTTGAAAAAGAACCAACAGACTTTCTACACATGAAAAATTTAATAATCAAAACTTAAAACTCATTGTATGGGTTTAATAACACTACACAAAATTGAAAGTAAATTAGTAAACTAAAAGATAAGTCAAAAGAAATCCAGAATGGAGCAATGAGATTTAAAAAAAATAATAGAGAGATGGGACATGGAGGATAGAGTAAGAAACTGGAAAATACATTGAATTGGAATCTGAAGGAAAGGAGAAAGAATAAGGAAAAGCCAGCATTTGAACAGATACTGGTTGAGAATGATCCAGAACTAATAAGTCACTAAAATACAGATTTAAGAAGTCTAATGGGGGCCGGCCCATGGCCCAGTGGTTAAGTTCACAGGCTCCGCATTGGCAGCCCAGGGTTTCGCTGGTTTGGATCCTGGGCACGGACATGGCACCACTCATCAAGTCATGCTGAGGTGGCATCCTGCATGCCACAACTAGAAGGACCCACAACTGAAAATACATAGCTATGTACTGGCGGGCTTGGGGGAGAAAAAAGAAAAATAAAATCTTTAAAAAAAAAAAAAGAAAGAAAGAAAATACTTAAAAAAACAAAAAGTCCAATGTGTCCCAAACAGAGTAAATAAAGAGAAATCCACACTGAGCTACATCATAGTGAGTATGCAGCACATCAGTAATAAAACG